AGTGATTGCATGTAAAATGTTTAAGATAAGATTTTTCCATTGAAAGTTAAAAGACAAGCAGTGTGATTGAATGTGCTCTTTGCCTGTGGGGCCGGAAGAGAAGTATTTCGGTTTGCTCTAGCCTGCAGAATAGAAAGGAGGGGCTCTTGTCACTTCTTTTGGGGCAGGATCCATCTTTCAGTATTGCTGTTTAGGTAATTTCACTGCTACCAGCTGGGAAGTAAATGAAGGAGGAGGAGGACTTCTTTAAATCCCCTACTGTGGATTCATAACTTTCCCCCTATGAATTCTCCTATGGCCTTTCAGGTCTGTGGGAGTGTATCTGGGAGGAAACAAGTGTCAGATGCTATATTGTCTCTCAGAGGGCCAGCCATGGGAACCATCAGGAAAAAGTGGTCATACCACGTTGCATTCTACATCTGGCAGCTTGTGGTCACAGCAGCAAGATGTCTGGCTTTCCCCAACTTCAACCTTCAAACTATATGTTCATCCCATTTAATTTTTTTGGTTTGTTTGAGATGGAGTCTTTCTTGCTCTGTCACCCAGGCTGGAGTGCAATGGTGCAGTCCGGCTCACTGCAACCTCTGCCTCCCAGGTTCAAGCAATTCTCCTGCCTCAGCCTCCTGAGTAGCTGGGATTATAGGCACCCACCAGCATGCCCGGCTAATTTTTATATTTTTAGTAGAGACAGAGTTTAACCATGTTGGCCATGCTGGTCTCAAACTCCTGACCTCAGGTGATCCACCCACTTCAACCTCCCAGAGTCCTGGGATTACAGGCATGAGCCACTGCGCCTGGCCCCCCATTTAATTTTTGGTGGAGAAGCCAGTTAATGGTATTCTGGAGTGTCACATTTAGTGTCAGTTTATTTTAATAAGTATTTGATATTTAGATATTGACATGTTTAAATTTTATCTATAAAAAGTATTTTTTAGATAACTACGTAATTTATTTGTTTCTATTAGAACACTGTACAGAATGATTTTAAACAGAGGAAACTTGTGTATGGATGCCCTTTAATGCCTTCAGATATTTTCTTAAAAACCTTTATGATGTGAGTTTTTAATGCATTGAAACAAATTGTCCTAAAAAAAAAAAACCCAGATCAACAATCTTTAAATACTGAATTTTAGATAATAAAAAGTGAAATGCTAAAGAGGCAGAGAAAAAAGTTTGAGAAATTACCTGATCATGGTAAAAATATACCAACAGGACAAGTGGTTAGACAAGCAGAACTTCCTTGGGAGAGCCCCCACTTCTGTGGCAAATCCTGTCTGCAGTTTTCTGCACACACTGCTCTGTGTTCAAAAGTTACTCCATGAGAAATTAGCTCTCAGTTGCTAACACCTCACAATCTCCTTCACAATCCTCAGCAACAGTTACTTTGAGTTGTCAGAGGGTCATTCAGCTCAGAGCTACTTTTGATAGACCATCCTAAAAATGTTCTTTATGGACTTGGAGATTTGTAAAAATTTTATCTGTTTAGGAAGGTGAACCTTCTGGAAAGAGAAAAGCAGAAGATGATGATAAAGCAAATAAAAAGCATAAGAAGTACGTGATCAGTGATGAAGAGGAAGAAGAAGATGATTGAAGTATGAAATGTGAAAACATTTTATATATTTTATTGTACAGATTGTTATAAATATGTAAACATGAGTTATTTTGATTGAAATGAATTGATTTGCTTTTGTGTAATTTTAATTGTAATAAAAAATCTAAAAGCAAGGCTATGTTCAAGAAATCTACTTTTCACAAAACAAACTGATTTTTTTACACAAAGGCTTAGGTCTCAGTGAATTCCTGCTGCTCTCTCAACCCCCTCTTCCTCTCATTCTTCAAAAAGAAGCCTTCTGGCCAGGCTGAGATTAAAATCAAGGTGTTAGAGGGCCATTCTCCCTCCAGAGACTCTTGGCAGGTATCCTTCCTTGCCTCCTCTCAGTTTCTGGTGGTTCCTGGCAGTCTGGCTTGTGATAATGTGACTTCAGTCTCTGCCTCTGTCTTCACATGACCTTCCTTGTGTCTCTGTTTTGGGTCTCTCTATCTCTAGATCTCCCTCTTTTCATAAGGACACCATTCATTGGATTTAGAGCCAACTCTAATTCGGTGTGACATGATCTTAACTAATTACATGTGCAGATTTTTCTGTTTCCACATAAGGGCACGTACTGAAGTTCTGGGTAGACATTAATTTGGTGGGGGGGTGGGGGAGGGCACTATTTGATCCACTGTGATAACCATGATAAATACTGTTGTAATATAATTTTTAAAATACTGTATTAATTCAAAATTAATGTCAAAAAATCCATGATGAACAAAATGTTAAAATTTTAAATAACTACAGGATCTAACAGGTCTAGGACTAGGATGAGGAGAGATATACAAGGGCAGAACTGGATTCTGTCTTCTGTCTTTTTTGTTTTTTATTTTTTGAGATGGGGCTTGTCAAAACAAATCCAGGCTGGACTGATAAAAACTCACTGAAATCTCTCCCTGCAGGGCTTAGCTGTGTCTTACCTCCCAAGTAGCTGGGACTACTGGTATGCACTGCCATGTCCTACCAATTTTTGTATTTTTTATAGAGATGGGGTTTTGCCATTTTGCTCAGGCTGGTTTCTAACCCCTGGGCTCAAGCGATCCACCGCCTCAGCCTCCTGAAGTGTTGGGATTACAGGTGTGAACCACCATGCTCAGCCAGATTGTCTTTATTCAAAATTTTGTTTATTGTGAATTTTCTGCATTAATTTGGATTTTTTAAAAGTACTGCATTACAATGTTATTTATCTTGATTACTGAGATTTTGGTGCTCCTTGTATTCTCGTGTAAGCAAAATGAGTATCTCATTGTCTCAACCCAGGCACGGTCTTGCTTTCTTAGAGCATGGTGGCTGAGTTCCAAAGATGAGCATCAGAAAGTGGCAGGCAAAAGATGTATTACCTGTTCTTTGTATTACCTTGTATAACCTAGCATTGACTGCCATACAGTCTCATTTCTACCACATTTTGTTAGAAGTGAATCATTGACGTGAGCCCATATTCAAAGGAAGGAGGCTGAACGTGGTGGCTCACCTGTAATCCCAGTGCTTTAGGAGGCTGAGGCAGGCATCACCTGAGGTCAGGAGTTCAAGACCAGCCTGGCCAACATGGTGAAACTCCATCTCTACTAAAAATACAAAATTAGCCGGGCATGGTGGCGCATGCCTGTAATCCCAGCTACTCAGGAGGCTGGAGGCAGGAGAATTGTTTGAATACAGGAGTCGGAGGTTGTAGTAAGCCGAGATCGTGCCCCTGCACTCCAGCTTGGGCAACAAGAGCGAGACTCTGTCTTACAAAACAAACAAAAAATACAAAGGGAGGGGAATTTGATTCCTCTTGATGGGAAGAAAGGCAAAGAATTTGCAGGTATGTTTGAAATCTACCACACACATATTTGCCTTCTCTGTGGAGCTCCTTCTACATACACTAATCTTGTCCTTACTGAGAGCCTCTACTTCTACTCTCCTTTCTTCCTGGTGCTGTTAGGCCAACCTGGGAGTGGTAGTTGTGGGAGTACCCTGAAGCCTGGTTATAGAGAAAGAAAAGTGACATCAAGAGAGGGAGGGTGTAAGTCATCATCATGTCACTTTCCTAACTCAGAAATCTTCAGTGCCAGCTATTCCCTGGCTTATCAAATGTAAACTCTTCTACCTGGTTTTTAAGAGCCTTCATTCTGACTCCAGTCTCTCCAAGGAAACATAGTTTTGTGTGTTTGTTTTAAACATTTTACCAGAAGACACTTGTGTCAATTAAGCTCTTGTTTCCTTTCCAACCTAATCTTCTGTGCCTGGCATGGTGGTGCTGGGACCGGGAGTTCACAAACCAGATTTGAGCTTCGCCAGCTGCCCACTGTTAGGGGGCGCCAAAGGAAGACTGGAAGCCTGGAGAACTAAGAAGGGATTGCTCCTTCCTCTTTGCTTATGGAGTTCTGGGGGCTTCCTGTTGACTTGCGTCTTCTGTGAGGGCACCCACCAACACTTCTTCACCTCAGCAGAGGCAGAGCCTTTCTGCAGCTGTGGAGTCCAATTTGCAGTTTGGCCAGCGCTTGGAGAGCCAGCTTAATTTTCTTCCCTGAGAGACATCAGGACCAGCTGGGCAGCAGCTTTCCCTCAGGTATGAGTTAAGCCCCAGGGAGCCCTTTATGTGTTTAAGTTTTTATGATCTCCCCTCTTCCCTATGTTCCCTCAGCCCCACAGGTGGAAGCTGTTCTTTGCATCTGCTACCTCTGTGAACTCTTAGAGTTCCTCTTTTTATACTTTTAGTAACCTCATCGACAACTTTAAACCCAATTGCAACTTTAAAATTTTAAATTCTATCCGTACAGACAACTGGTGTGTTTTCTGTTTCCTGACTAGAACCTGACTAGGTGGTCCAGGAAACAAATCCTCAAAGATGGAGTTTAGAGGGCTTGGTTTGGTTTGAATGCAGATCTGAACTCCCCACCAATGAGAAGGCGGATGCTGGTAGCCCATGGTTCCATTGGTATCATAGTGAGTCAGATTATCTAATTTACTAGAGTAGGCTGTGAACTGGGGAAAGGAAATACCCAGAATTTGGGAGATTACTAGATCCTGGCTCAGTTGATGCCCACTCCAAGAACCTAAAATACTCTACTAAATACAATATGGAGACTGACGGTGATAGATGGAGTTTTAGCCCAAGTTAAATTCACAGTATGCCCTCCAGATTTACTGACCCACCTTGTGGTTGTTTCCCCAGTTCTTAAATATATGATTGGAGTGGATATGTTCTGTCAACTGAGAGATTGCCCACATTGTCTTCTGATCCATGAAGTAAGCACCATTAAAGTAGAAAGGACCAGGTGAAAGTGCCCGGAACTTATTCTTCTCACCAGGATAATAAACCAAAAGCAACACTGCATGCTTGGGGAAATTGTAAAGGTGAATAATAACATCAAAGACTTGAAAGAAGCAGAGGTGATGATACCTCTTACATCCTCTATTATTTATTTTTTGAGATGGAGTCTTGCTGTGTCACCCAGGCTGGACTGCAGTCGTGTGATCTCATCCCACTGTAACCTCCACCTCCCAGGTTCAAGTGATTTTAACTGCCTCAGCCTCCCAAGTAGCTGGGATTACAGACACGCTCCACCACGCCTGGCTACTTTTTTTGTATTTTTAGTAGACATGGAGTTTCACCATGTTGGCCAGGGTGTTCTAGAACTCCTGCCCTCGGGTAATCTGCCTACCTTGCACCTCCCACATTGTTAAGATTACAGGCATGAGCCACCGCACCAGGCCACATCCCTCATTTAGCTCACCTTTATGGCCTGTGCAGATGGCAGACTGATCTTGGAAATGACTGGTTATCTTACACTGAAACAAATAATGACTCTATTAGCAGCTGCTATTTATTTATTTAGAGACAGAGTCTCATGCTGTCACCCAGGCTGGGTTACTAGGACATTGAGAAATATTAAGCAGAGGAGGACATGTATCCTTCAAAAGCTGTAGGCAGGGCCAGGTGTGGTGGCTCACGCCTGTAATCCCAGCACTTTGGGAGGCCAAGGTGGGTGGATCACCTGAGGTCAGGAGTTCAAGACCAGCCTGGACAAATGCTTTTTCCCCCTCCATATCAATATGTAAGGACAAACAGAAATAGTTTGCTTTTACTTATTAGACCAATGGCACCCCTCATTAGACCAGTGGTTCCCCTTATTAGACAAATGAAGCTCCTTTGGTCTGAGGCAACGATCTTGCCTCACAGTTACATGGACTCACCTGTACTCTGCCATATGGAGTCTGCAAAAACCCTGACCCTTTTTATGTTCCACACGTCACGCTGGTCCACTGCATCGATGACATTATACTGATGGTATCTGATCTTATGAGTAGGAAATAGTTGTACTTTAGATGCTTTAGTAATCACCATGCAAATCAGAGAGTAGGAGATAAGTCCCATCAAAATTTACGGGCATGCCACCTCAGTGAAGTTTCCAGGGGACTAATGGTCTGGAGCATGTCTGGATAGCCCCTCCAAAATGAAGGATAAGGTGCTGTACCTAGAACCACCTACCACTGAAAAATAATGCCTGGTGGATCTTTCTGGATTTAGAAGCCAACGTACACTTTATTTATTTGTGCTACTTTGACCTTTTGCCAAGCAAGGCAGAGATGCTACCTGCTTTAATTGAGGACCAGAATAAGAGACTGTTCTGCAGTAATTCCATGCTACAGGGCAAACTGCTCTTCCACTTCAGCCTAATAACTCAGCATATCTGATAGTGCTTGGTGTGTCTGTGGCAGATATCACTGCTGCCTGACCCCTGTGGTTAGAATCAGCAAGATAACTGAGTACAGGTCTCTAAGGATTTGAAACATACCCACGTCCTCTTGTAGACAGTCCCTTTTAACATTTAATCATGGGACATCAAGTAACCACACAGGCTAAGCTTCTCAGAATGAACTGGGCATTTTCTGTCCCAGGAAACCATAAGCTTGGGCATATGTATGGCAGTCTTTCACCAATCTATCATCTGGGCCCACTGAGGTCCAAAAGGCATGAGAGGCTTCTTGTTTAGGTGACTTAGGCTCCCTTCATACAGACTCCTGCTGAATTGCCTCTTCTATCCCCTTCTCCAAAAGCAAAAAGCCTGGTTTCAGTTATCGTCAATTTATTTACTCATTTGTTCAGTCCCCATTATGCAAATAATAAAATGACTACGGGTATCTGCTCAGCTCTGGGCCACACACAGTGGCCATGCAGGCCAAGTTCCCATTTAATGTATAGTTCAAAAAACTCTACTCATATTGAGAATTAAAAAGATTCTAGTAGAATTCAAGAAAGAGGCAGCAACTGCAAATATCTTTAAAGAAAACACCCAAGAAACTTAAACTGAATGCAGTACTATGCGCTTATGTGTACTGTGCCAAATGATTTAAGATTTGACACAAATTAGGCTGGGTGCAGTGGCTCACACCTGTAATCCCTGCACTTTCGGAGGCCAAGGTAGGCAAATCACTTGAGGCCAGCAGTTTAAGACCAGTCTGGCTAACATGGTGAAACCCCATCTCTACTAAAATACAAAAATTAGCTGGGTGTGCTGGCCCGTGCCTGTAATCCCAGGTGGTCTGGAGGCTGAGGCAGGAGAATTGCTTGAACCCAAGAGGCAGAGGTTGCAGTGAGCCAAGATCATGCCACTGTAATCCAGCCTGGGCAACAGAGTAAGACTCCACCTCAAAAAGAAAAAAAAATAGGTCTGACACAAATGTGGGTAAATATGGACAAAAGAGGCTTCTATGAACATTCTTGCACAGTGCAGATACATTCAGTCTTGGGCTGATCCTAAGCAGCACTGTTATCAGATGCTGTTAGCATTCTTTCTGTTTTGGTTCAGAATTTTGCTCCTTTGTTGCTACATATTTCAGTAGGGAGCCCTGGCAGCTGTTGGTTAACAGATGTCTTTGTTAGGGAGCAACAATCACAATCAAAGCTACCATCAAATATACTTTGTGACAGCCTGGGGGATTAAAACAAGGAAAGAGTCAGCATAACTCCATTGCAAATGTCTTTTTCTTAAACTTTATAAAATGGTACAAATTATGCATGTAGCTATTCACTACTCCTGGTACATTAAACTTACTAGCACTTTTTTTTTTTTTTTTTTTTTTGAGATGGAGTCTCACTCTGTCTCCCAGGCTGGAGTGCAGTGACACGATCTCGGCTCATGCAGCCTCTACCTCCCGGGTTCAAGCAATTCTCATGCCTCCTGAGTAGCTGGGATTACGGGTGTGTACCACCACACTACCCTAAGTTTTGTGTTTGGTAGGGATGGGGTTTCGCCATGTTGACCAGGCTGGACTTGAACTCCTGACCTCAGGTGATCCACTTACCTCAGCCTCCCAGAGTACTGGAATTATAGGCGTGAGCCACCGCGCCTGGCCATAACTCACACGTAGTGACTAAGCAATGGTAGATAGATAGCCTAGCAATGGTAGCTTTTCATTTTCTAGTAATGCACACATTTTGGCCCTGGCTCCTGATACAAGTTTCTTTTGTGTACTTAGGCTCACTTATGGATACATCGCTTTCAAAAGCCAGGAATTTAGGAAAGGTTCATAACATTTTTATAGAACCTTAAGCTTCTCGAAGGGTAAACTCTAGTAAAATTTCTCTAAAGAATTGGCCAGGCATGATGGCTCAAACCTGTAATCCCAATACTTTGGGAGGCCATGATGGGTGAATCACTTGAGGTCAGTAGTTTGAGATCAGCCTGGCCAACACGGTGAAATCCTGTCTCTACTAAAAACATAATAATTAGCTGGGTGGGTGGCACACATCTGTAGTCCCTACTACAAACTACTACAGCTACTCAGGAGGCTGAGGCAGGAGAATCACTTGAACCTGGGAGGCGGAGGTTGCAGTGAGCCGAGATCACACCATTGCTCTCCAGTCTGGGTGACAGAGTGTGACTCTGTCTCAAAATAAATAAATAAATTAAAGGCTGGGGGTGTGATGGCTCATGCCTGTAATCCCAGCACTTTGGGAGGCCAAGGTGGGTGGATCATGAGTCAGGAGTTAAAGACCAGCCTGGCCAAGAGGTGAAACCCCATCTCTACTAAAGATTCAAAATTAGTGGGGCGTGGTGGTGGGCTCCTGTAATCCCAGCCACTTGGGAGGGTGAGGCAGGGAATTGCTGAAACGCGGGAGGCGGAGGTTGCAGTGAGCCAAGATTGCACCACTGCACTCCAACCTGGGTAAGAGAGTGAGACTGTCTAAATAAATAAATAAATAACACTCTGAAACTCAGCAGCTTTCAACAACAAATATTTACTACATCATGCTGATTCTAAAGGTTAGGAATTTTGGAATGGCTTTGCTGGGTGTTTCTAACTCAGAATCTCCTGCAGGCTGCAGTCAAGATGTTGGAATGGCACTACATTATCTAAGGGCTTGCCTAGGGCTGAAGAATCTGTTTCCAAGATGGTTCACATAGCTCTTCGCAGGGGCCTTAGTTTTTCACTATGTGGGTCTCTCCATAGGCAGTTTGAATGTCCTCACAGCGTGGCAGCTGGCTTTCCCCAGAGCAAGTGACCTAAGAAAGAGCAAGACAGAAAAGCCACAGTATCTTTCATATCCTCATCTTGAATAGAGGTTGTATTCTATTGATCACATAGATCAATCACAGCACAATATTGGAGAAGACTACACAAGGGCATGGAAAGCAGAGGCAGGAATTACTATGATGGGCAGGAATCTTGAAAGAAGTTGGCTGCCACAGTGATTGATTGCTTTTCACCCACCAATTCTACCTCCTTTCACCAAAGAGACTCTAGTTAAGCTTCTGAGAACCAGGCTTACGGAGCCAGTTTGAGATTGGTTTAATGGAGATTTGGTTTATGAATCTTAGGATGATATTGAAGTGGTGGACCAAGAACTGTGTAAATAACTTTAGCTGGAAAAATTAATACTGTACATTTCCCTCCAACCCTGAAGATCCATGGATCTGTTTGGAGATATAGAGGACATTTCTTCTGAGAGTGATGAGGGCAATCAACCACCTATTCCAGGACAGCTGGTTGTAAGTACAATCACCAATATCAACCAATTGCATTATTCAAAGCTAAAAAAAAGCTTCAGAGGCTGATGAGTCTGTGTCTCTCATGTTGAGAGAGGACATGGAGAGCTGAACATCTGATGAATAGGTGACTTTCTTAGCTATATTGAGAATTTCTGGCTATAAGAAGGCACAGAAGGAACTACTCAGAATGAGGTTGATGCCAAACTTTAGGGGCTAGACTGTGAGAAGTCAATATGTAAAAACTTTTGATTTAAAGGTTTTTCTTATTCAAGCCTATGACAAGAAGCATGAGCTATGTTGATATTCTCTGATTCTAGTAGTTGCCTAGTATTGATGGGGTGAATAATTTCACACTTCCGTTGCTAAATATATCATGCAAAATATTTATGTAACAAAATAGATACTTATACTTTTTTCTAGTAATATAGGCTAACAGATCTTGTTTCTCGTGTTTTTTCTGCTTTGTTTTGCTATTTTTTTTTTGAGACAAAGTCCCAAAGATTACAGGCATGAGCCATTGCGCCCATCCTGTTTTGCTTTTTTGTAGGCATGAGTTGAAGTTTTAGGGAGAAGCTTGGCAGACTTGCTGTTTTATCCCTAAAGCGGAGTCTAAATTTACTTCCTGGGCCAGGCATGGTAGCTCATGCCTGTAATCCCAGCACTTTGGGAGGCCGAGGCTGGTGGATCACCTGAGGTCAGGAGTTTGAGACCAGTGTAACCAACATGGTAAAACCTCATCTCTACTAAAAATACAAAAATTAGCCAGGTGTGGTGGCGCAGGCCTGTAATCCCAGCTACTCAGGAGGCTGAGGCGGGAGGATTGTTTAAACCCAGGAGGCGGAGGTTACAGTGAGCTGAGATCATGCCACTGCACTCCAGCCTGGGTGACAGAGCGAGACTCTGTATCAAAAACAAAAAAACAAAAATTTACTTCCCATCAAACCTGCATTTGCCCAATGCAGGACAAGTAAAGCTAGCACATTTCTAAGGCCTCTTCAAGCTCTCACATTCTGATTCCTTTCTTAGGATGAACATGGAATGCCTCAGGACCAGCAGGAGGAAGAGCCAATTTCTGAAACCATAATAGAAACGGAAATTCCCAGTATCAACTCTGATTTAGGAAATGAATTGTATTTTGTTAAACTACCCAAGTTTCTCAGTATAGAACCCAAGTAAGAGGAGTGATTAAAATTTTCAAGATATTGAAAAAAATATTTCAAATAAATATTTATCATGAGTTGAGTAATCATAAAGATGGGAGATTTCTCATAATTTTGAAAAAACAAATGTAGGATGTACTGTGGTAGAAAAATGAATTACTGGTAAGAGAGAATTTTAATGCTAACAATTTTTCTAGCATTTTGGCACTTTCTTATACATAAACAGATCATAATGGATGAAGGCGTTTTTCACTAGTATAAAGCTGAAAAATCAGAAATTAAGAGTGATAAAGTCTGCCAGAGAAATCACAAATATTCTGGCTGGGCATGGTGGCTCATGCCTGTAATTCTAGCCCTTTGGGAGGCCAAGGTGGGCAGATCACTTGAGGTCAGAAGTTCAAAACCAGCCTGGGCAAAATGGTGAAACCCCATCTCTACTAAAAATACAAAAATTAGCTGGGTGTGGTGGTATGCGCCTATAATCTCAGCTACTTGGGAGGCTAAGGTGTGAGACTCTGTTAAATCCAGGAGGTGGAGCTTGCGGTGAGCCAAGATTATGCCACTGCACTCCAGCCTGGGCAACAGAGTGAGACTCTGCCTCAAAACAAAACAAAACAAAAAATCACAAATGTTCAATGCAAAAGCCATTGTGAATCTAGAAGAGACAATTATTTTGTACTGCAAAATAGTGTCAGTGGGTATGATTCACTAAGATACATGCATGCAGGCTCTTGTGCAATTAAACACAACACATTTTCTTAAAAAATATGGGAAGATCGTGTGTTGCCTATACTTTAGAAGACATGTTTCATCAAATATCATTTTGGATTGTTAGTTGCATTTGAATTTTATTTCAGGCAATATGTTTTAGAAACAAATTTCAAGAAAGCTTGGTAATTTGCATACTTCTTTGAATGTTTATATAAAGTTATTTATCTACTGTGATTTTTAAAGGTGACACATTGTAGGGGTGATTAAATATAGTTATTAATCATAGTCCTTACTAAATATGGCTAACATGACATTAAAAACACAATTTTTAGACCTTTTGATCCTCAGTTTTATGAAGATGAATTTGAAGATGAGAAAGTGCTTGACGAAGAAGATAGAATCAGGTTAAAATTAAAGGTACCACCCCATACTTTATTGATTTTTTCTTTTAAGTTTTTTCTTTTTTACAGTAAAACAGGAATGACAACTTGAGACTTGAGCTTGGGAAATCCTCTTATGTTTCTCGTTCAATAGCTCTTTAGACCTAGGAATTAAACATCTTTTCAGAATATTTTTACGGGAGGAGGTATGTGCCCTTTTTTATCCCTGTGGAATTGTCACTTTCTTTTTTGGTTGCAGTTATACCAAGATAAAATTTTTGAAAATTGTTAGCTACCTCCTTCAGTATAAATAACAACATAACAAGTTATATGGAATTGCCTGCACATTTTACAGTGGGTGGATCCTGGCCATTTCCCACAACAGAATGTTTTGACTCCTCATGGATATTCACACTATGCACAAAAGAGATCTTGTCATTAGGTGGTTCCTCTCTAAGAAGGCCTGTGACGGCAAAGCACTACCAACTGCTCTCACAGGCATGTTGTTTTTCCTTAAAGGGGTTTCCTTTAAAACTTTTTTTTTTTCTAAATTTAAAACTTTTGGGGTTTTTTTTGAGATGGGCCTCGCTGTTTTGCCCAGGCTAATCTCAAACTCCTGCGCTCAAGTGATCTTCCCACCTCAGCCTCTTGAGTAGCTGGGACTACAGGTGCACACCACCATGCCTGGCTAAGGAATTCCTATGAGTTTCTACAGGGGCTTCAGTGGTAGCACTGGGCAGAGGCAATTTTTGTTGTTGTTCTTACTTTTGTGACTTGGAGTTCTCTACCATATGGGTAGAATAAATTTAGACTCAAAAACAGGGCAAAGCACTGATCTCATGTTTTATTTTATTTTATTTTTATTTATTTATTTATTTCAAAGATGGGGTTTCACCATGATGGCCAGGCTAGTCTTGAACTACTGACCGCAGGTGATCCACCCACCTCAGCCTCCCAAAGTGCTAGGATTACAGGCGTGAGCCACAGTGCCTGGCATCATGTTTTAATTTTTTGATTGTTTATTCTTTTTAAAAAGTTGTAATTTCATGCACAGAGCTTCCCTGTCTCACTAGGCAAATGGGGCAGTCTTTAGCCCTTCTTTCATTGGGTTTGTCTTCAAGTGGCCCCACTATCTTCAAGTGGCAGAGGTCTCATTCTGACTTTCTACCTCATGTGGACCCAAAGCCTCATGCTGTCTCCTTTGGGTCTCTTGGTGTGTCTTGTCTGGTAACACTTCCGGCCTGCATCCTACTTAGCTCCTACTTCCGTTGCTATGAACTGTAGCTCAGAAAAGATTTTAAGAAATTGCCTGGTTAGTTTAACCAACATATCTAGGTATTGGTAGCAGGTATGTTTCAGTTTTGCTGCATCAGCTAGTTTTTGTAAGTGTATTCTATCATTACCTATCAAGTTTTCACACATGATTACAAATCACTTGAAGAAAGAACATTTAGTTAGTTAAACTGGTTTAACTAACCAATGCCTTTGGGTTTTGAACCAGGTAGAAAATACTATAAGATGGAGGATACGCCGGGATGAAGCAGGAAATAAAATTAAAGAAAGCAATGCTCGGATGGTCAAGTGGTCAGATGGAAGGTGAGCACAAAATGCCTGAAGAATACTGACATACCAAGAGGGAGGCCTCGGATGAGTGAGGTTTTTCTTTGTAGAACCTTCTTTTGGGGTCCTTTTCTTTTTTTTTTTTTTAAGACAGAGTCTTGCTCTGTCGGCCATGCTGGAGTGCTGGAGTGCTGGAGTGCAGTGGCGTGATCTCAGCTCACGGCAACCTCCATCTCTCAGGCTCAAGCAATTCTGCCTCAGCCTCCAGACTAGCTGGAATTATAGGTATGTGCCACCACGCCTAATTTTTGTATTTTTAGTAGAGACAGTTCACCATGCTGGCCTGGCTGGTCTTGAACTCCTGAACTCAGGTAATCAGCCCGCCTCAGCCTCCCAAAGTGCTGGGATTATAGGTGTGAGCCACCGTGCCCAGTCTGCGGTCATTTTCACTAAAGGATTTACAAAAGTCTAGGTCTGTGGCATTACCTAGGAAACCTGAGAGAAGTAAATAGGGTGGAGGTCTTATAGCTGTGCTGGTGGTAACTTCAGAAATGAACTCAAGATGTGACAAAAGCGATTGTATCTACCTTACTGATGTGAAAGACTAAAATTAGCTCTCATTGATGAGATATCGAACATGACAAAATGATATTTTGGAAAACTTGTTTCTGCTTTGCTAATGAAGTGACAGAGATTTGTAAAATTACAAAACAATTATATTTTGAGTTAAAGAGAGGATAGATTTTTACTACTTTTTACTTTGGAAGGAGACAGGTTATTTACAGCATCTTTTCTGCTTTTCCTATGAATTCAGTATGCGATAGGATCTAGCAGTTCCACACTATTTTAAGCCAAGCTCACAGGGCAGAATGGAAGCCACAGGACTCATTAAATATCCACCCTAATATTTGAACTGTTTCTCATTTCCAGCATGTCCCTGCATTTAGGCAATGAAGTGTTTGATGTCTACAAAGTCCCACTGCTTGGCAATTACAACCACCTGTTCATAAGAGAAGACACTGGTCTGCAGGGACAAGCCGTCTTTAAATCCAAACTTACCTTTAGGTAACTATTCACACTGACACATGATTACTTGCCATTAAAAAGCAATAAAGTTGAGATAGTACAACTCGCCCCTGGACCATGGTCTGGTTCTTATACACCTTTTTCAAGTTTACTCCAAGCTGCTATTTCTCAGGGAGCCAGTTCATACTACCAGAATTCCCAGGAGAGTGATTACAACCCAGAATGTAGGTATATTAATCCACATTGATCAGTGCACTTGGTAAGAAGCCTGGAGGATTTGTCCTTGCAGCTCTGCTGCTCAGCAGGTCCTTTCCCTGGAGTGAAATTGACCTGGGACGTTGGCCAGGTCTGTTGATGTGTGCCAGCAACAGACCCAACAGGCTGGGCTCTGCCCTCCCCTGAGGCTGCAGCAGCCTGTGGCTAAGCAGTTAGATGCCAGGGCCAGGTAAGCTCACTGTTGTGGCCCCTTCTCCACACCTTCCCTTTGGACACAGTACTGTTGATTAGGAGTAGGCTTTCCTCCAGAGGTGGAGTACTTAAAAGACAAGCGCTCTTTTGGGGGACATGAAAGTTTTCTAAAATCAGATAGGGGTCATGACTGTATAACTTTGTATATAAAAAACTGTTTAATTGAATACCTAAATGAATGGGTGTTATAGTATCTAAATAATATTCAGTAATCTGTTGGTCTTTTTATAGACTATAAATTGGGATAGCTCTGAGGTTATGTAATCTTGAGGAAGGGTCACAATCTCACTAATTGCCAGCTTCCTTATGTATTAAATGGCGATAACAACATCTATTGCACAGGGATGTTATATCAATGAAGTCAAATAACACATGGAACATCATACAGAGACCTGGCACAAGTGGTGAGTGGTGCTCAATCCAGTCTCTTAATCATCTCTCCTAGAATAGCATCCTAAAAGATGCGTGATTCTGAGCTTGCTTTTTTTCACTGTCCCCTGTGCTCGATACTGGGAAATTTGACTGCCTGACACCATCTCATTCCTGATGTCCCATCTCTCTGCAGCCATGCTGTCTTCCAGAGACCCTCCCCTAAGGATCATCCTCCTCCCCTCTGATGTACTTAATTAAAAGCTGCCTTCCTGTAGGAAGGAAGACATTTCTTTCCAGCCCGGGACTTCTGGTCTATGTATTATCCCCTGGGCTGTTACAAGGCCCCTGCTGCTACTGTGACCTGCCTACTTGCTTTGACTTCCAGTTTTTTCCAGATGAAGAGACTCATCTCTAGTTCTGCAACTGTGCCTTCTGGAATCTGCACCTCCCTCTGGGAACTGAGATTTCATATTCCTTCTCTTCTCCTCTGACTGCAGTTGGGGATATTCTTTGTAAAAGCCTTTTACTTTGCCACCTGCCTCCCCTCACTTCCACTGCACCCCACTTCAGCCCAGGCAGCTTTCCCCAGGAGGTAAGGCAGAGGGAGGAGCTTCTTAGGAGGCTGGAGAAAGAAGAACTGTGGTTTTGCTTCCTCTGTGTGCTGAGTGCAAGGTCCTCGTCCCCAGTTGTTTTTGCTAAAGGTATGATTGCCTCCAAATGTTCTTAGTAACCAGTGAAACATTTTTGTCCACTTCCTGGCAGACCTCACTCTACAGACAGTGCTACATACAGAAAGGTGACCCTGCCACTTGCTAAAAGAAGTTCAAAGACACAGAAAATTAGAATCTTACCTATGGTGAGTCGTGATCCTGAAGGCCAACACACAGAAGTGATGAAGGTATGTTTGCTAAGCTTTATCCTGGGACATTCAGAGTAGTAAGACCTGTTTTCCAGAACATTAATTCACCATTTCTTATTGCCACTGCTGTTTTATTTCTTCAAGTTATTAGGGAGCCAGTTTAACTTTCTTAGTGTGTAGTTAATCACAGTAATTATCAATGGCTGTTGGTGAGATTGTACCAAAGAACTCTGAAATCTAGAAAACTGATTATTTAAAAAATGTAACCTTTCACAAACACACATTGTGAATCACAATGTGTGAAATGCCAGGTAGATTTAAAAAATGGAGTCTACCTTGTGGCTCAAGAACTGTCCCCTTGTAAGGCCTCCCCATTCTGTCACTGAAGCTATGGGGAGCTCTGGGTTGAGGGGTCAGGATAGGAATATCTGGGAGCCATGGGAGTTTGGTGGAGCCTGGGCAGGTCAGGTGGTTGTGGCTCAAGGATGAATAGAAACAGCCTCTGCTGCTCCAGGGGGTCAATTTGGGTGAGTCGCTTCTCTCTGGGCTGAGTGGCAGCACAGAACACCAGCACAGCTCTGAGGACAGGACTGTGCCAATGCCAAACAAGCTGGTTAGTGTCATGGCTCCCTTCTGTCCCCCCCCCCCCCTTTTTTTTCTGAGACAGAGTCTCACTCTGTTGCCCACACTGGAGTGCAGTGGTATGATCTCAGCTTACTGCAACCTCTGCCTCCTCGATTCAAGCGATTCTCCTGCCTCAGCCTCCCAAGTAGCTGGGGACTAGAGGCTCACACCACCACGCCCATCTAATTTTTGTATTTTTTGGTTGAGATGGAGTTTCGCCATATTACTCAGGCTGGTCTTGAACTCCTGACCGCAAGTGATCTGCCTGCCTTGGTCTCCCAGAGTGCTGGGATTACAGGCATGAACCAATGCGCCTGGTCCCTTCTGCCTCTTCACCCATGCATATCCTTCACACCTACAAACCAAAGGATCCACGTGGAGTAACAGAGGTATGATGGGGAAGATGATACTTCGAAGACACATGGGAGAGCTGTTATCCTGGACTAGGCATTATGTCTTTTTTATGGTGAAAACATATACAAGAGGGCACAAAAGTAGTTTCTGTTTTAGGCTGAAGAGGTTATTTGCTTTTTTTTTTTTTTTTTTTGAGATGGAGTTTCGCTCGTTACCCAGACTGGAGTGCAATGGTGCGATCTCGGCTCACTGCAACCTCTGCCTCCTGGGTTCAAGCAATTCTCCTGCCTAAGCCTCCCAAGTAGCTGGAAGTACAGGCATGCACCACCATGCCCAGCGAATTTTTGTATTTTTAGTAGAGACAGGGTTTCACCATGTTGACCAGGATCATCTCGATCTTTTGACCTCGTGATCCACCCGCCTCAGCCTCCCAAAGTGTTGGGATTATAGGTGTGAGCCACCGTGCCCGGCCATTTGCTTCTTTACAGAAAGAACGCTTGAGGGCTTCCACTCACCAGGAGTCTCAGGAAATCCATCTGCAGGAGAAGCAGAACCAGCAGGGGCCAAGTGTCTCCTACCAGGACCCTGGCAGTGATGATGTGGAAGAGGAAGGCAAGGACACCTTCAGCCTGGCTGCCATTAAAAACTATTACCAAGGTGAACTCCAAGGTGAGTCAGGTGTGACAGTCACAGTTCATCATTTCAGGGTTCATCACAGTTCATCACAGTTCAGGGTGACAGTGCCTGCTTTTGCTCTGGTGAGCTCTTACCCCTTTTCCTACTGTTTACTGAGAACAAAAGTACAAAGGGTTTATGTTTTTCTTAGGGCTACTCTCCCAAAGAAAAGATTAGCTGTGAAAATATGGCATTCTCCAAATAAAATCAATTAAACAATTTATATTGTTGTGGAGGGAAATGTATAAAAGGCAGTTCCCGTTTGTATAATTGAAGACTCAATATTTAAGTTTCATAGTTCTTAAAAATGATGTGAATAGGTATTTAAGTGCTCAAATAACCTCTTTAAGAACAAAACCTCTCAAATCTAGTCATTTTAGCATGTCTGAAAGTTCTACTTACTTTCCCACTGAAACTTTTAAAAAAGTTAACTCCTTCAGGAAAAATGTACAGTGGGAAGTAACAATATTTGGCAGAAGAAACACTGAGGAATAAACCATCTTTGAAGGTTAGTTTCATGTCCAAAATACCTTTGCTTTCAGAGGAACAAGCCAGAATCTATTCCTCAGACAGTGATCAGGGGTCAGAAGATACGACTCAAAGATGAGTGAGAGCAAAGAAACTCAGTAATGAAGTAAGACCAAATGTATTCAATTCTCAGAATTTACCCCGTACTCAGGAGTCAACTGCTGGGAATATTGCTCACAGACCTGGCAGGCAGAAATTAACTGTCTACACACTTGATTGAAATCCAGTGAGATCAGTGCAGCAGTAGGACTAGGGGTTGCCCAAAGGTCTGATACCTGTGCTCTGGTAGGTCTTCAAAGGCTGCATAGAGGGGGAATACTCTGCTGGGTGTTGAAGAATGAGCCGAAGTTTGCAACACACAGGCCAGGTTAGGTACTCTAGGAAGATGGAAAGGCCTGTAAAGAAAGGTGCAGGGGGCTGGGCGCTGTGGCTCACGCCTGTAATCCCAGCACTTTGGGAGGCCAAGGTGGGTGGATCACGAGGTCAAGAGATCGGACCATCCTGGTCAACATGGTGAAACCCTGTCTCTACTAAAAATACAAAAAATTAGCTGGGCATGGTGGCATGTGCCTGTAATCCCAGCTACTCAGGATGCTGAGGCAGGAGAATTGCCTGAACCCAGAAGGCGGAGGTTGTGGTGAGCCGAGATCGCGCCATTGCACTCCAGCCAGGGTAACAAGAGCGAAACTCCGTCTCAAAAAAAAAAAAAGAAAGAAAGAAAGGTGCAGGGCCTGAGATATCAAGTCTTGGCTACAGAACTACAAATTGCTTCATGTGGGCAAAGCAAGGAGTGGTCTACCATATTTACTGTGGGAAACTGGGTGTCTTTAAAATTTTATTTAATTAATTTATTTATTTTGAGATGGAGTCTTGCTTTGTTGCCCAGGCTGGAGTGCAATGGTACGATCTTGGCTCACTGCAACCTCCACCTCCCAGGTTCATGTGATTCTCCTGCCTCAGCATCCTGAGTAGCTGGGATTACAGGCGTGCGCCACCATGCCTAATTTTGGTATTTTTTAGTAGTGACAGGGTTTCACCATGTTGGCCAGGCTGGTCTCGAACTCCTGATCTCAAGTGATCTTTCTGTCTCGGCCTCCCGAAGTACTGGGATTACAGGCATAAGCCACCATGCGGCCTTTTTTTTTTTTTAAGACAGGGTCTTGTTCTGTTGCCCAGGCTGGAATGCAGTGGCATGATCATGGATCACTGCAGCCTCGATCTCCTGGATTCAAGAGATCCTCCTGCCAAAGCCGCCTGAGTAGTTGGAATGACAGGCATGCATCATGATGCCTGGCTAATTTTTAAAATGATTTGTAGAGATGAGGTCTCACTATATTGCTTAGCCTGGCCTCAAGCAATCCTTCTACCTTGGCCTCCCTGGTACTGGGATTATAGGCATGAGCTGTGGTGCTTGGCTTAAAACTGGGTATTTTTATTGTTTGAATACAATAGTAGTTGAGGGGCTATCTCATTTGTTATAAAAATATTTTGTTTTCCTTTTATAAGATCAAAGGTGAAAAGAAATTTTAAGTCTCTCTTTTATTTTTATTTTTGAGATAGTCTTGCTATATTGCCCAGCTGGAGTGTAGTGGCACAATCTTGGCTCACTGCAACCTCTGCCTCCCAGTTTCAAGCAATTCTTGTGCCTCAGCCACACGAGTAACTGAAATTTTAGGCATGCACCACCAAGCCCGGCTAATTTTTTTTTGTATCTTTAATAGAGATAGAGTTTCACCATGTTGGCCAGGCTGGTCTCAAACTCCTGGCCTCAAGTGATCTGCCTGCCTCAGCTTCCCAAAGTGTGGGGATTATAGGCGTGACCCACTATGCCTAGTCTTAATTATTAATTATATAAGAGAATCACTATGGTATTGCCCATTGACCATATTAATTCATTCAATGTTTTCTGAACACATGCTCTGTTCTGGAGATACAGACAACAAAAACTCCCATCACAGTGACAACAGTGGTCACTGTGTGTTCATTTATTTTTTTTCCCTCTCTATACAACACACATAGTTGTCCCTTAGTATGCACAGTGGATTGGTTCCAGGACTCAGAATATACCAAAATCCACAAGTGCTCAAGTTGCTTATATAAGATAGTTTAATTCGTATTTGCATATAAACTATGTACATCCCTGCTTTAAATCATTTGTAGGATGGGTGCTTTGGGGGCCCAGCACTTTGGGAGGCTGAGGTGGGCAGATCATTTGAGCCCAGGAGTTTAAGACTCCCATCTCTTAAAAAAAAAAAAATTAAAAATTGTCCCTGCTACTCAGGAAGCTTAGGCAGGAGGATCAATTGAACCCAGGAGGTTGAGGCTGCAGTGAGCCGTAATCGTGCCACTGCACTCCAGCCTGGGTGACAGAGCAAGACCCTGTCTCAAAAAAAAAAAAAGATATACTCTCTCGATTACTTATAATACAATATAAATGCTGTGTAGGCTGGGCACGGTGGCTTAATTCTGTAATCCCAGCACTTTGGGAGGCCGAGGTGGGTGGATTACCTGAGGTCAAAAATTCAAGACCAGCCTGGCCAACATGGTGAAATCCCATCTCTACTTAAGATATAAAAATTAGCCAGGTGTGGTGGCACACGCCTGTAATCCCAGCTACTCGGGAGGCTGAGGCAGGAGAATTGCCTGAGCCCTGGAGAGGGAGACTGCAGTGAGCTGAGGTCATACCACTGTACTCCAGCCTGGCCAAAAGAGTGAGACTCTGTCTCAAAAAAAAAAAAAAAAAAAAAAGAAAAGAAAAAGCTATGTAAATAGTTGTTATACTGTCTTATTTAAAAATTTTTCAAAGATTTTTGATCTGTGGCTGGTTTAATCCTTGGATATGGAGGTCCAATTGTACTGAATTTTAGAGAGAAAAGAAGTGAAGTACTGGGGAAGCTGGGGAACATATTTCAAGTAAAACAATAGAAATGTCAGTCAGTATAGTCAGTATAAAATGAAAAGTAAGTATTCACAGGGTGGGGTGGCTCACGCATGTAATTCCAGCACTTTGAGAGGCCTACATGGCCAGATGACCTGAGGTCAAAGTTTGAGACTAGTCTGGCCAAGAAGGTGAAACCCTGTCTTTACTAAAAATACAAAAAATTAGCCGGGCATGGTGGCACAAGCCTGTAATCCCAGCTGTTTGGGAGGCTGAGGAAGAATTGCTAGAACCCAGGAGGCAGAGTTTGCAGTGGGCCAAGATCGCGCCTTGTACTCCAGCCTGCCCAGGGGAAACCTAAGTTCAGTTGGCTGACCTAGACAGTATCTGTGGGGACACATTTGGCTACCAAGGGTGGAGAAACTGAGTTCTAACCTGAAGGGCTGGCTCCTGTCAGCTCAGAACCACTTTAGATAAAACTTCAGGAAACATTTTATATTGAATTGTATGTCTTATCTCATATTTATTCAGGTAAACCTTCCAGAAAGAGGAAAGCAGGGCGTGAAGAGGAAGATCATATAAAGACCTAAAATGTGCACTCATTGTATTCAAGTTTGTTTCAAAACAATGATGAAATGACTTGTTTTAATTGAAGTAAGTTGAGTTGCATAATCCTAGTTGTGAATAAAAAGTTTTCAAAAGCAAGTCCATGACTTTAGAAAATCCATTTTTTCCCACACAGGATTGTTTTGTGAACTGTTTACTGTGGGAGGGGCTTAGGTTTTAGTGCATTCCTGGTGTTAAACTTGACTCAGTTGTGGCCTCCTTTAGGATGTCCTCCCTGGCCTGCCTAGCTGGGTTTGGGGCCTTGTGCTCGGTAGTCCCCTTAGTATGGCATTAATTCCATTTCTCATATAGCATTGTGCTCTTGAAGAGCAGGTACCACAGGGAGAGCTCACTGGATACCTGGTACTTAACCAGTGCTAAGTGGGCCTGACCACTTCTAATCCTTAGGGCAGGTGCTGTTATACCCCTTTTACAGATGTGGAAACTGAGGTTTAAAGAGCTTAAGACCTCTATACAACGCTTTTATTTAAGTAAACAAATAAGCTTTTCGTTTTGTTTTTTTTTTTTGAGATGTAGTCTGGCTCTGCCACCCAGACTGGAGTGCAGTGGCACGTTCTTGGCTCACTGCAACCTCGCCTCCCGGGTTAAAGCAATTCTCCTACCTCAGCCTCCCTCCAAGTACTTGGGACTACAGGCACATGCCACCACACACGGCTAAGTTTTTGTATTTTTAGTAGAGATGAGGTTTCACCATGTTAGCCAGGATGGTCTCGATCTCCTGACCTCATGATCCACCCGCCTTAGCCTCCCAAAGTGCTGGGATTACAGGCATGAGCCACTGCACCTGGCACAAGTAAGTTTTTCTGAGACAGGGATTAGGATATTACATGCACAGTGATCACAATGCTAGGTAAATACTTTAGTGACCTTATGGAGACAGATACCCAAAACATCTATGTGAGATAAACAGGCACATTACATTTAGGGAAAAGAGCCATGGGAAACAAAATACTGGATTTGATTTCTAGTTTTGTAATTGCTGCAGTAGCTGGAACACAATAGAACCTAAAACACTATTTACTGAATGAACAAACAAATGCTGTTATCTTGGGCAGTCTCTTCTCTTGGGTGGGCTTTAGATTTAACCACATAAATCCTTCAATTCAATGTTTATATCTCTACCTCTGACAGCTGAATACTAAGATATATATTTTTAAATGTTTTGTGAACTATAAATGATCAAAGGGGAAAAAATAGCCCATTTCACCATGCTGAAAACCCCAATTTACAATTCTATTTCCTTCCCTTTTATACTTTTACAGCATAATTTCATGCTTGTATATTAAACACATTCATAATTAGCACTGGCTTCTGACAGAATTGAGAGACTCATTCAGAACAATGGAGGGTACTAGCACAACTTAATTGTAACATCAGGTATTCTTTCTAAGGGGCTGGCTTTGAAGATCTGGTGTATCTGCACAGGACAGGAACTAGGGAATTGGGCTGGGATCTCCAAGCCCTCAACCTTTGCAGACCATGCAGGAAAGCTTAACAGTTGAACGAAAAAAATGTCTGGCAATTTTGGACTCACAAATGGTCAAGCCTCCCCTTCTATTTGGTAACTCTAAGAGCAGCGGTGCCACCAGGCTGAGCACTTTTAGTTGGACTGCTTTGGAGGACATAGGGAGGATGCTGTTGTCTCACAGCTAGTCCCTGGCACTCAAGTCGTCTTAGACTCAGGGAGCAGCTCACAACTCAGGCACCTGAGCCTCCCTGCATCAAGGCTTCCTGTACATGAATGTGAAGCTCAACAGTCATTCTCAGAAAGCAGAATGACATTAAAGATTCCAGGTCAATTTCTATATTTCCCTAAGTTAGGAAAACTTTGAAAACTTTATTTAACTTTTTTTTTGAGGCAGCATCTAGCTCTGTTGCCCAAGCTGGAGTACAGTTCAAGTGACTCTTGTGCCTCAGCCTCCTAAGTAGCTGGGATTATAGGCATGCGCAATCAGGCCCAGCTAATTTTTGTATTTTTAGTAGACAGGATTTCACCATGTTGGCCAGGATGGTGAGATTCCTGACCTCGTGATCTGCCCACCTCGGCCTCCCAAAGTGCTGGGATTATTGGTGTCAGCTACAGTGCCTGGCCCTTTATTTAACTTTTATCCTTAAGTTTCCTCAAACCCATTACACATTTCCCTGGTTTTCTTCTTTTTTGAGACAGAGTCTCACTCTGTTGCCCAGGCTCGAGTGCAGTGGCACGATCTTGACTCACTGCAACCTCTGCCTCCCACGCTAAAGTGATTCTCCTGTCTCAGCCTTCTGAATAGCTGGGATTATAGGCAGCTGCCATTGTGGCTAATTTTTGTATTTTGAGTAGAGATGGGGTTTCGCCATGTTGGCCAGGCTGGTCTCGAACTCCTGACCTCAGGTGATCCACCCATCTTAGCCTCCCAAAGTGCTGGGATTACAGGCGTGAGCCTCCGAGACTGTTTTTTTTTTTTTTTTTCTTTTCTAGTAGACTTGCTCTGTCTCCCAGGCTGGAGTGCAGTAGTAATCTCAGCTCATTGCAGCCTCTGCCTCCCAGGTTCAAGCGATTCTCATGCCCCAGCCTCCCGAGTAGCTGGGATTACAGGCATACACCACCACACCCAGCTAATTTTTGTAATTTTAGTAGGGAGAGGGTTTTGCCATGTTGGCCTGGCTGGTCTCAAACTCCTGACCTCAGGTGATCCACCCACCTCACCCCCCTAAAATGCTTTGATTTCAGGCGTGAGCCATCAAGCCTGGCCTGGTTTTCTCTTTTGATTGATGGATACAGGTGACTGCTAAGTCTTCGCTTTACTATAAAAGCAAAATCATCTCTAGTCCATTAGAAGGACTAGTTCCCATCAGGTTCAGAGTATACTGTATCACAAGACTCTGCTTTTTTTTTTTTTGAGATGGACTCTCTGTCACCCAAGCTGGAGTGCAGTGGCATGATCTTGGTTCACTGCAGTCTCCACCTCCTGGGTTCAAGCTATTCTCCTGCCTCAGCCTCCTGAGTAGCTGGGACTACAGTTATGCACCACCACAGCTGGTTAGTTTTTGTATTTTCAGTAGAGATAGGGTTTCACCATGTTGGCCAGGCTGGTCTTGAACTCCTGACCTCAAGTGATCCACCTGCCTTGGCCTCCCAAAGTGCTGGGATTATAGGTGTGAACCACCATGCCCAGCTGACCCTGCTCTTTCCTATTTGTCAACTAAATTCAATTTTATATACATGACCTAGTACTGATGATATTAGGTTGAACCTTATGATATGACTATTTTTAAGAGTAAAAGTGGTCAACTATTGTAATTAATTTTACATGGTTCAACATAATATGGGGATATAGTCAGCTCAGATTGTCCCAACAATATACTATAGACTTGGTGGCTTAAATAACAGAAATTTATTGCTCACATTCCTAGAGGCTGGGAAGTCCAAGATCATGGTTTGGCTCCTGGTGAGGATTCCCTTCCTGGCTTGCAGACAGCTGGCATTTTGCTGTATCTTCATATGGGGGAGAGAGTCTCCTGTCTCGTCATACAAAAACACAAATACCATCATAAGGGGCCCAACCTTGTGACCCATCTAGCCTTAATTACTTTCCAAAGGCCCCATCTCCAAATACCATCACATTGGGGGTTAGGGCTTCAACATGTGAATTTAGGGTGGAGGGGGTATGGATACAAACATTCAGTCCGTAACAGGTAGGAATGAGTAACTCAGGGAAATTGATAAACTTGTTCTTGAAGAAGGATGTAAGTAATGAATTTTAGAACTTAGGAACTAAAGGGATTATGTGCTTTTTCAAAAAGTCCAAGTCTACAGAACATTTGCTAAACTTTATTGAAATGATTTATCCCAGTATATATCGGTAAGTTTTAAATGTTTCTAGTACATAGTCTTCAAAAGAAACTTCACTGTGCTGTTATAAATTTGGTTGATAAGATTTTGTATTATTTAAATATTGATGTTAAAATTTATTGCTTTTATATTTATAAAAAAGGCTATTACAATGTTGGATATTTTAACATTAGAAAAAATATAAATACCTGATTTCATGTGACAATGATGTTCAAATTATTGTTACAAAGGTAATTTTTAAGCTTTTAAATGTAACTAAAACCACATAAAATTCATCCAAAAAACTGAAAAGACATTTATTTGAAATACAAATGTTTTTATGCTGTATGTGTATACATGTTTTAAAAAACAATTCTTAAACGGATTGATCTAAAAATTTGAAACCACTGAATCAAAAGCTTATCTTTATGAGTATAGGTGAAATTTAAACTTCTAAAAACTGCTATATATACCCACCAAGAAGCACCAATAATTCATTCTTAAACCTTACTCTCTGAATGTATAGACCATAATATCCGAAAAGCTGTAGGCCAATTACTTGCTTTGCATCAAGTAAAACAAACTGTAGAAAAGAGAGTAAAACCTCATATATGTAGACTCAAAGAGGTGTCTGATTATCTTAAAAATATAATAACTTGTTACAGCTATATTAGCAAAACACTGCTCGAGGTGTTTCTTACTATTTTTTTATTTTGAGATGGAGTCTCACTCTGTCACCCAGGCTAGAATGCAATGGCATGATCTCGGCTCAATGCAACCTCCGTCTGCCGGGTTTGAGCAATTCTCCTGTCTCAGCCTCCTGAGTAGCTGGGATTACAGGTGCGCACCATCATGCCCAGCTAATTTTTTGTATTTGTTGTAGAGATGGTGTTTCGCCATGTTGGCCAGGCTGGTCTCGAGCTCCTGACCTCAAGTAATCCACCCGCCTCAGCCTCCAAAGTGCTGGGATTACAGGTATGAGCCACTGTGCCTGGTCATTATAATCTATTTTTATCTAGCCTCTAGAGCAGGTGTCCTAAGTAAAAAACAAAAACAACAACAACAACAACAAAAAAACACTTTTTTTTGAGACAGTCTCACTCTGTTACTCAGGCTGGAATGCAATGGCATTATCAAAGCTCACTGCAGCTTCAACCTCCCAGGCTCAAGTGATTCTCCCACTTAAGTCTCCCAAGTAGCTGGCACGACAGGTGCCTGGCTAATTTTTAAATTTTTTGTAAAGATGGGGTCTTGCTGTGTTGCCCAGGTTGGTCTCAAACTCCTGGGCTCAAGTAATCCTCCCTGCTTGGTCTCCCAAAGTGCTAGGACTACAGGTTCTTTTTTTTTTCTGAGACAGGGTTTCACTCCCTCACTGGAGTGCAGTGGCATGATCTCGGCTTAATGAAACCTCAAGCAGTTCTGCTGCCTCAGTCTTCCGAGTAGTTGGGACTACAGGCATGCGCCACTGCGCCCGGCTAATTTTTTTATTTTTTGTAGAGATGGGGTTTTGCCATGTTGCCCAGGTTGGTCCCAAACCCCTGAGCTCAAGTGATCTGTCCGCCTCACCTTCCAAAGTGCTAGGATTACAGGCTTAAGCCACAGTACTTGGCCAAAATTCTTCATATGTTAATGAAGGCTTTCCAAAATACTTTGTTATCGCTTATAACAGTTTACTTAGCCATGTCATTTCTCCTAGAAGTTTCCTAGGAAATCTAGGTTGACCTTTCTGAATGAGCAGTCTACAAGACAGAATTTAAAATTAATAAAATATGTTTTATTATTAAATTTCTAATTCATTCAATTGTTATAGGGAAGAACTTATAAAATGGTATTACAGTAGAGAAAAATCAATACAGGTTGAGTATCCCTCATCCAAAATGCTGGGACCCTAAGTATTTCAGATTTCAAATTATTTTGGATTTTGGAATTCAGGGCATTGTACAGTTCAGCATCCCTAATCTGAAAATCTAAAATTCAAAAGGCTCCAATAAGCATTTCCTTTGAGCACTATGTTAGCACTCAGAAAGTTTTCAATTAGGGATGCTCAATCTGTAGACATAAGAAAGAATGACCAAATTGAAATATAAGAATAAGGCAAGGTGCAGTGGCTCACACATATAATCCCAGCACTTTGGGAGGCTGAGGCGGGCAGATCAGCCTGGCCGACATGGTAAAACCCCGTCACTACTAAAAAATACCAAAATTAGCCAGGCATGGTGGCAGGTGCCTGTAACCATAGCTACTCGCAAGGCTGAGGCAGGAGAATCACTTGAACCTGGGAGGCAGAAGTTGCAGTGAGCCGAAATCGTGCCACAGCACTTCAGCCTGGGCAACACCGCGAGACTCGGTTACAAAAAAGAATATAAAAACCTTTGCCTCTGAATAGTATTTTCTTAATTTAAAAATAATTAGTGAAGAGTTTCTTTGATTTGCTGGTAAGCAAGTCTTAGGATAAGAAATATCCAGAAACATTAATGATCAGTGAGAGCTGACGAAGAGGATAATTTTACAGATACGTAGACCCCAAGAACTGACAGCCCTTAACTGATAGCAGCAACCTGAGTTGTCACTAGTGCATCCATGTTTGCTTCTCTTGGATGTCATGGGTCAGTCAATATATTCAAAGTGCAGTAGCACTGTAAAATGAGTGAAATTGGATAGTACTGGCTATGGACTCCAGAGAAAGTTTGATCCTTTGATCTGCTGGGAGGTTAACAGTGGTTCCTGGTTTTACATGGAAAAAGTGAGGCAGCCTTTGGAACACAGACCCTAAAATGTAAGATTTTTAAAAATTCCATAAATGCTTTCATCTTATTTTAAAGACAGCAAGAGTTAAATATAATGTACAATATGACATGAGTAACATTTTATCAAAACTTTTTTAAAAATAATTTTATTATATCATGGAATCCTCTTTTTAAATGAAAACACATCAGATACTCGGTGAACTGCAAAACAATTTATAGAGTTCTATTTACATGTAACTTCTCCAGAGTGCACCTCTTATAAAAGGCAAGGATGTGGGTTATTTCATTCAAATAACATGAAGTCTCAACTAAATGACCAAGCTAACTCTCCTTGAAGTCTCTAACCATCCACTAATTAATGTAATACAACATTCTTATTTGGTCTTTTAAATGACAGGCAACCTTTGAAAGTGTATTTCAGCTATTCTTGAGACTTCTACTAGGCTTTAGCTACAAGAATATAGCACCAAAATCCATTTTAGTAGTACTAATATTTGTCACTAATATTGAGTTTTTAAAACATACAATATCATGTAGGCATACTGGAAAAATTCAGACAAATATGAATATAACATTTTATAAAACGAGTTATAAAAAGCTTTTTTAAAAATAGCAATTTAAAAATGTAAAGAATATTCTTTTATATAACCAGATAAGCTGGTTAGACTACAAAACCGAAGGTCTCAGAAAACCTTTGGCTTAAAAATTGACTATTGCAAAATCCTAATCTATTTATCATAAAATTTTAGAGCAATTAAGAAATACTGAAAGTTACTAAGAGGTGCCAAATTTTTAAAGATCGAAGTAAACACAATTTTTCTCCCTCAATTTTTGAAAGATTTTCTATATTCAATTGGATGACTGTTCATATTTAATGTTATTTATGAAGAAATCCTTTCTTTCAGTTATACAATGAACTATTATAATGCAAAACTGAAATGGTACAAGCAAAATACTCAACTTCATACTTTGATAAATAATAAATGAAAAAGATATTACCATAAGTATGATACAAAAGTCTAGGTAGAGTCCCATCTACCTATATTAAAAACAAAACAAAACAAAAACTTAAGAGACGAAGGGGGAATTAACTATTTATCAATTGATTGCCTTATGGGACAACGCAAACGAGGATGCCAGACTGAAAGTCTATGTGACCAATTCTTTCTGGTAGCCTGAGATGCCTGCTCCACGCCTGACTCCCAATCTTGTTGGAACTGTGCAGTCTCTATAAAATCAAGTACAATCCAAAAGCTGCATATGAAAAAAAAAAAGAGGGGAGAAGAAAGGAGGGAGGGAGAGAAACAGGGAAATAGAGAAGGTAGGAAGGGAGAGGGATGGAGGAAGGGAAGCAATAAAGCAAGCAAGTAAGCCTTGCTAACTTGGAAAAGTATCAGTGGCCTTTAACTGAAAGGGAATAGTGCAAAGTTAATCTTTGACCCCTATAAAACATTGGATACTCATTTAAAAAACAAAACAAGGCCGGGCGCGGTGGCTCAAGCCTATAATCCCAGCACTTTGGGAGGCCGAGGCGGGTGGATCACGAGGTCAAGATATCGAGACCATCCTGGTCAACATGGTGAAATCCCGTCTCTACTAAAGATACAAAAAATTAGCTGGGCATGGTGGTGCGTGCCTGTAATCCCAGCTACTCGGGAGGCTGAGGCAGGAGAATTGCTTGAACCCAGGAGGTGGAGGTTGCGGTGAGCCGAGATCGCGCCATTGCACTCCAGCCTGGGTAACAAGAGTGAAACTCCGTCTCAAAAAAAAAAAAAAAAAAAAAAAAAAAAAAAAACCAAAGAAACACACCACAGTTCTTATGAGTGAAGCTTAGCCTGTTAAGAAAGCGTATTACCATAGCACACAAGAAGCTGCCTGGTACTTAGGAGGCTGAGGCAGGAGAATTGCTTGAACCCAGGAGGTGGAGGCTGCGGTGAGCCAAGATCGCGCCATTGCACTCCAGCCTGGATAACAAGAGCGAAACTCCGTCTCAAAAAAAAAAAGAAAAAAGAGAAAAAGAGAAACTGTCCAGCCCAAGCCAAAGCAGCAGACATACTGCAATTCAATTTCAAAGATTTTTTGTTTTTTTGAGGAAGAGTCTTGCTCTGTCGCCCAGACTGCAGTGCAGTGGTGCAATCTTGGCCCACTGCAACCTCCATCTCCAGGTTCAAGCGATTCTCCTGCCTCAGCCTCCTGAGTAGCTGGGATTACAGGCGCACACTACCACACCTGGCTAATTTTTTAATTTTTAGTAAAGATGGGGTTTCACCAAGTTGGCCAGGCTGGTCTCGAGCTCCTGACCTTAAATGATCCACCCTGGCTTCCCAAAGTACTGGGATTACAGGAGTGAGCCACCACGCCCAGCCCAAAGTTAAAAAAAAAAATTAATAATGACAAGTCACCCCACTCCCACCCTCAGAAATGAGATTCTTCCCTTCAGAAAAATCTCTGTAAATAATACAGCCAGGCCTGAATTCTGAGGCGAGGGTTACCTCAGACTCCATTCCTCCCTGTTTTCTGCAGCTATAAATGCCTCTGCCACCTCCTGCTCCAGGGGCTGCCCTGAGACAGGACACAAAACAAGTCCAAACCCTCTACCCAGCATCAGCTCTGCAGTCTCAAATCATTTTCCCGACCACAGTACTATATTCAATTGTTCACTTTAATACTTTGACCAAGAAAGACCGCCTTTATTATAGAAATGACTTTTATAAATATAGATAAAAGTATAAGATGAAAGGAAGCATATACTAAAAATCAGATTTATGAAGAACAGCAGTTTTCCTTCTTGGTTGGAAGATTTGTAGAAGTGATTAAATACTATTTATGCAATTCTGCACTGCATATACTTCTTAGGATACTATGTAACACCAAGTAATTTACATACATGTCAGCTTCTAAATGACTTACAGTAACCATCAGTTTAAATGACTGTTTTGCAAGTGCCTCATACTGGAATTCCATCATATTTATTATCTTTGATTTCATTGTTTAACAGCTTTCTTTTTTTCTTACCCTAAATAACTAAGAGTTGGCTGTATGCCTTTTTTTATGGGGAGGAAAAGAGCTTCTGTATTTAGGTGCTTTTTACCATTAGCTTTCACAAAAATTTAATGCCCACATTATTAAAATGAAACACTGGAATGAACTTAGACCTCACTAATGCTTCTAAACAAAGTATGTAACCTGGTAAAGCTGATGACTTTGTTTTAAGAAAACCTAGGTGTTGCTGTGTCACATCAGACGAGTGCAGCAACCTGAAATGCACAGATGACCATCATCTCTCCCTGGAGACCTGCTTTAGCTCCTACACAAATGACCAGATTTTGAGTCAACCATTTATGAATTCTGGCATTTTGTTCTCTTGATAAAGAAAAATCACACTGTTGCCAAGTTCATGTATTTTAAAAAATGGAAAAGTCTCCAGGTCACAGAATGAGGAAAGCTCTTAAGCATTTTATATCTAAATGAAGCAATAGCAATTCTGATACCAGCAATATCCCTGTTGATTTAAAAAAGTTGGTCCTCATAATGTTCAAATTATTCTACACAAATGACTTGTAAAATTTTTTACAATTATATTTTTTTGCCTAAGATTCATCATCAATCATTCAATTAAGCTAAATTAAAATTGATTTTAGCAGAAAGTAAAAATGTTTCAGAATATTAAAAAATCACCTTATTATTGATTTTACAATTTGAAACTAATAACAACTTAAACTAAAAAAAAAAAAATGCATGTCATTAAAAAACCTTTTCCAGTCTTTTCCCTTCTACTCAGGAAAATTTTACATCTGATGTCACCAACATGAGCCCTTGGTGATCTTCTGAAGTCTTCCAAAGATTATACCTTGGCAGACTTACTGGTGGTCTCCTTCAACTCGTCTCTTACGCACTATGAGAAAAATAAAAGAAAGTATGTTAGAAATCCCTATTAGTTTTTAAAATGGTAAAAGCAAGTTTCTATATAATCTAGTTATAAGCTTTACAAAATTGAAATGTCCATTTCCAGTTCATATAACCATTAAGTTAAAAAAGACAAAATCTACTTCACATCATTTACCACTGTCATTTACTTGTTGAGAACAGAGGGGTTTCAAAACAAGAACTACATGCCCTAAGGCTCACTGACTCATAGCTATGCTTACACAGCAGCTGTGCTAGAAATCTAAAACAGAATGGTCACCAATAATCTACAAGTCATCTGTTTTTATTTTTAACTTTGTAATTTATTTTACTAATAAAATAGAGGCGAGGTCTCACTATCTTTCCCAGGCTGGTCTCAGACTCTTGGGCTCAAGTGATCTGCCTGCCTCAGCATCTCAAAGTGCTTGGGCTGGGCGCAATGGCTCACACCTGTGTGCCTCACACAAAGGTGTGAGCCATTGCGCCCAGCCCAAGTCATTTTTTATTGAAAAAGTATATACTTAGGTTTAAAAAAACAGCTAATAAATTAGTGTGTTAAATTCTGAAGTGAAATTCAGGCAGCTGGGGTTAGAATATATGAAAGTAACTATTTGCATGCTCTCCTGATTAGACACTACAGTGTATTTCCTTAGGCTGTCAAAGAATATACCAAAAACATTTTTGACATTTTTATAGGTAAGTGATTTGCTACTGCTTTCTGAATTTTCCTTCTCTTGTCTCCTGTAAAGTAAACCAGTCCAAGGTCTGACAAAACAACAAATGCAAAGTAATGAAAATCTCAGACCCTGGTAATACGATGCAGTCACTTCTGGCTACCATAAACTTTGCTGCCTAAGTGGCCAGTCAACTAGCTCAGCTGATGCAGCAAAGAATGGTACATGTATGTATCTGAGACTACCTCTTCCTGGACTGGTGACACCAAACTACTAAGGGGTGCTCTCTGGTAGCAGAACAAGGTCTTCACCTTCAGATCTTGCTACCTGCACTCTCACCTATCAGCCACTAGAGAACATTCATTGAGTGCCACCCATTCAGGGCTCTCAGCATTGTGGCCAGTTCATAGAGAGGACAAAAACCACAGGTTCCAGAGTCAGTGACAAATAGAGTGAATCATGGCTCTGTCACTTCTGTAGTGTGTATTTTGGCCTAAATTGGCTGTTTGACAGAGAAACTAGAAGCCAACAGGTGCACCTGGTGTCCAGATCAAGCCATAGACACTCTGCTCTTATGCTATTCTGACCACTGCCTTTTGTTTGTCGGCCTTTAATAGATAAGACCATATGTTCGGATGAAGTGTATAAAATCTTGTCCAGCCATAAGCTGGGTGTTCACTTGAAAATAAAACAGGAAGGACTAAAGTATCGGGTTCCCATGAACATTTTTATACTTATCTAATAAAGTCTGCCTGACTCTAACTTTATCATTTATTTATTTTTTTGCCAGAACTCGATAAAAATAGGGATTGTTTCATAGATGTGTGTGTCATCCTTGCAAGGGGCCATGCTAATCTTCTCTGTATCATTCCAATTTTAGTGTATGTGCTGTCAAAGCAAGGAACTAATTTAAAGAAGTTCACGTGTTCACTGAAATATTAAGAAAAAAATTAAATGGAGAGGAGCCCTCAAATATCAAATCATCTATATAGATCTTTGAAAAATATAGAAATGTCTGAAAGGCAAACTTCAGATAATTATTTAGGGTAGAAATTTCAAAGAAAATTCTGAATTGCAGCAAGGTTTGGATGTTATTGGCATACCACTTCAGATGCTAAAATAATGCATGTTATAAAAAGATCTATAGGACAGAGTGCAACAAACAAAAAAGGTCTAGAAAATGGAATATGTAGTTAGCCAGTGTAAAGATAGTAATGTGAGACTCAAAGGTAAATAGAATATTGCATGTATACCATAGAACCTCTTTGCTGTCACAGCTGTGACACTTCTTAGCTGAAGAGATGGAGAGTAGGTAGAATTATTTCAATGAATAGCTGAGACTAAGAAAACAATGAGAGAAGGAATGATGTTATCAAAATCAGAACATGATGATCTGATAGAGGCCCATCTACAAGGTGAAAAAGGACTATATTTCCAAGAGATTCTGTGTCAGGTTTTGTTCTTTATCTCTTTTGAAGCTGCTGAGACCAGTATGTCAGAAAACCTAGTCTTCAGGCTTTCCATCTTTATCTATTAGGCAGAAGTCAGAGTATACAGCTGAAGAAAAATTCAGCTGAGTGGAATAATGAGAAGCTGCTGCCACTGTGTGCACAGCAGTGCAACGGGTCGTTTCCAACTCCTCTTTCTCACCTGGTGCTCACTTGTTACCTTCCGGCAATTCCTTAGTTCATCCTCTAGATGGCAGGCTTACAATTTTTGCCCTACTAACAATTCTTTGGATCTGGTCCAATTTCTTTCCCAAACACATTTCACTGATATAAGTTGTCAATAGGTCATCATTAGTTAATTTTGAATGTCCTAACTAACCTCATTTTCTAACTGTAAAAGAATAATAAGGGCAATTAAAAAAAAAAGTATTTTAATCATTTATTCAGTGGCCTCTAATGGCTCTCAAATGCCTCCTGCAACAAATCCAAATAAATCCAAGTTCTTTATCATGTAATTTTAGTGTATTCTACCAACAGTCCCAACAGACCCTCTTAAATCTTCTGATACAAGCTTTTTTTTTTTATTTTTATTTTTTAAGACAGAGTCTTGCTCTGTCTCCCGGGCTGGAGTGCAGTGGGGCAATCTTGGCTCACTGCAACCTCCGCCTCCCAGGTTCAACCGATTCTCCTGCCTCAGCCTCCCAAAGAGTTGGGACTACAAGCCTGTGCCACCACGCCCAGCTAATTTTTGTATGTTTAGTAGAGATGGGGTTTCTTCATGTTGGTCAGACTGGTCTTGAACTCCTGACCTCAGGGGATCCACCCGCCTCAGCCTCCCAAAGTGCTGGGATTACAGGCGTGAGCCACCACAGCTGGCCTGATACAACTTTTTAAACACTAGCTTTAAACAACAAATACTTACTGAAAGTGTATTCTGGAGTCAGCACCATGCTATTGAGAGTCAGTTCTTAAAATCTGCAGTCTGTCATCAGCATATTCTTAAATTGCTGGCTCTCAAATTTGAGCTTTTATCCATAATTGCCCTATCCAGGAATGTGCTTATTATCATTTCATGCCTGAGACCCACATCTGAAAATCTAGCCTGGATCAGAATGAAACAGCGTAAGGTGAGTCTAGAGAGTTTCCAGCACAAAGCTGCTTGCTTTCTCTTGATTCTGCTTGTCAGAACACAGCTTCTTCAACACAGCCTCTCTTCCTCTTGCATTTGCCCAAATCTCCCTCACTCTAACACTGGACATGTCTTTTCTTACAGAAATGCAGGCAAAGTGCCTACCAAAACAGGATTCACAGAAAAGCACAACTGCTTAAGCCTTGCAAAGGTTGGTGCTCCTGCCATGGCATTTATGGACATTTTCTGTATAGCTCCTGGAAGGACAGCTGCTGGAATCACCTGCCTCCTGGAGGGAGGTTACATAACAGCTGGTTGGGGCTACAAATTCATTCGTGGGATTCTCGGATTTGTTAAGGTAGTTTCCAAGGACAGGAAAAATGGAGCACACTTCTGGCTTAGTTTACGGCTATTTAGGTACCAGTGAATTGTAACTGTCAGAAAGTCCATATTGTACCACTTATTTATTCATTTAGTCCAGTTTTCTTAAGTACCTATTGTGTATCAGGCATGGTTTTAACAGTGTTGAGATTCAATAATTGGACATGGCTCCTGCCAACAACATGGTCCCTGCCCTCAAAAAGCATATAGTCTTTGTAAGTAAGACTATTACATATAACTAATTTTTTGAGTAAAAGGCAATTTAAAAAATGTGACAAATGCTGTGATAAGTAGAGGACATATGGGCACACCTGCTTAAGATATATAACAATGATGAACTCAGAAACTCAAATATCCACTCAACACTGGAGAAACAGGCCAGGTTTCTGAGTGTGAAATGCCTACAACCCAAATCCCATCACAGACTAAATCAGAACCTCTAAGGAAACTCGCTCTGTCAGTTTTCTGTAGTGTGTTTTTGGCAAGTTAGCTAACTTTGAGTCTCGACTTGTCCTGTATTATAGGAGGACAATAGTATCTGTACCTCTTGGTTGCACAACGCACTAATGACAACACAGTAAACTCAGCAGAGCACTCAGCTTCATTACCTATCAACGTAGGGTTATGTGATGATCCCGAGGCCCTGGTCAACCATTTTTTGGGGTGAAGAAAGCCATTTTAAGTCAATAACCTATGTGTTTTTAAAGCTCTCCAATTATTTATGAAGTCTAGCTAGTACTTCTTTATGAAGTTTTCTTAAAACACTGTTCTAAGAAGCAAAATTAAAGGCTGGAAGGAAAATATGCAAGCTAACTAGTGAAGCAATACTAAAACAATTAGCATGACTTTGCAAACTACATCTGGAATCAACAATACACCAAAACACACCAATTTTCTCTTTTCAAAAGCAAGCAGCTAAAATCTCCTCTGGAGAACCACTGTCATATAAAGGACAGAAAGGGTCTGAGCTAATACTTTCCACAGTGATCTGGATTAAAGGAATGAAGTGCTATTTTTTTTCCTGCTCCAGAAACTTTTACAGAATGCAAACTCAAATATGGCTGAAGCTTACGAGAATGACAACACTTGGAAATATCATTCCTTTTGAGAAGTCTTGTTTTACTTCTTGCCTAAAACGCATCTTTAAAAATACTTCAATGGCAAACATCCTAATTTAAAACAGTCAACTTCTGGAAACATGTAGAAATAAAATTCCAAGCACCATATTCGTTAATTCAGCTTTGGCTGGACAGTCTATTTCAAATAGAAGCCACAAGCCTCAAGCAATTAAATAGAAAACATAGGAGAGTGAGAGATTACTGACCTAGATGTATGCAGTGAGAAGACAGTTCCACAACAGTCCTGTTAGGAAGACTAGCAAACATCTACATACCAGATTATAAAACCTGGGTAAGAACTACAATTATTCTCTATTTTATATATTTCTATAGTCCATATTCTATTATATAAAATTGAATTTCTGTCTAGGTCTGTTTGATTAAAAGGGTAAAAAACTTTCCTGTAATGTTGCAATCTTTGTTTCAATCGTTCCAAGGACTGATTTGTAACTGAGAATAAACCGTTTGCTTGTTGTAGAAACCTGGTCATTTAAAACTATGAAATATGGTTGTCACAGAGGCTGATTTTACCCATTAACCCAATCATCACTACAACCTTACTTAAATTGAACTTGAATTCAATCAGTATAAAAAGGACCATGCAGATTGTAGAAACATAGGCCAAATAACTTCTCTGTTAAAATTTATTCTTAACAGGGAAAGAAGTTCTCTCAATACATTAGCTTATGAAAGAATTCAGAAACTTGATTGATACTGTCTATGTCTTACCTAAGTCGTTGTTTTTTGTTATAGCATTAGCTGCCCTGGTTCGTGGTCCCTGCTGTGTAAACTGATATCCAAACTTAAGGATATTTGTATTTTCTTCAAGCATCTTGGCCATTTCCAATTCTACAGCTGTCCCCAACTGCTGCCTCTGGAATAATTAGAAAAAAAGAATAATATTATTAAACTAGATCAAAATACTTTTCAAGGTAAATTAAGACATTCAGGCACATGCTGATTCTGTTGATCTCTTTAAATGTTCCCAATTCCTACAACATATACATAGTTCAGTAGTTCCAAGGACTGATTTGTAACTGAGAACAAATTCTTTGTTTGTTGTAGAAAACTGGTTACTTAAAGCGACGAAATGTTTGTCACAGGAAGCTGATTTTACCCATTGACCCAATCATCACTGCAACCTCAGTGGAACTATATTTCACACACACACACACACATACACACACACAAAATAAACTTTTTTTTTTTCAAAATAAGCTCAGTTATATGATCATATAGACATCAAAAAAGTGTGAATTACTATAAGGAGATTCCACTTCATACCCACTAGAATAAGTATAATAAAAAAGATACATAATAACAAGTGTTAGCAAGAGTGTGGAAAAATGGAGACATTGCTGGGAGGAAGGTAAAATGGTGGAGCTACGATGGAAAACTGGCTGTTGCTTAAAAGTTAAACATAGAGTTACCATATGACCCAGCACTTACACTCCTAGCTATATACTGAAGAGAAATGAAAATCTATGTCCATACAAGAGTTTGTAATGAATGTTCACAGCAGCATTATTTCTAGTGGCCCATAAGTGGACATATGCCAAATGGAATAGAATATTATTCAGTCATAAAAGAATGAGGTACTAAGTATATTACAATACAGATGAACCTCCAGAACATTATGCTAGGTGAAAGAAGCCAGTCACAAAAATATCACATATTGTTTGATTCTACAGATATAAGCTGTCCAGAAATCCTAAGAAACAGAAAGTAGATAAGTGATTGCCAGAGCCTGGTGAAAGGGGTATGACTGCTAATGGATATGGGGTTTCTTTTTGGGGTAATGAAAATGTTCTGGAATTAGTGGTAATGGCTGCAAAACTCTACAAATAGACTAAAAAGCATTTAACTGTATACCCTTACTGTATATAATTATATCTCAATAAAATTTAAAACATGGATTAAGAAGCATGGGGTTAAATTTTAAGATATAATCCTTTTTTCTATCTACATAGTTTATATAATTTACTTAGAAGGACTGAAGGAGATATTTACCAAATATTTTTTCAAATAACTGCAGTTATTTTTTCTAATAAAAAAATTAATAGCTACTCTGGATGGAAACATTTCTAACATGTATCTTTCTGCCTCTTACTTACGAAAAGCCTACAATGTGGATCTTGCCAGCACAGAGCTGAAAAAGTGGAAGGCAGACTAAGTCACATGGAAGAGTTCTCTCAGTTCAAACTGGATAGCCATCTACATTCTCTTAAAATGATCTAGGGAGAGTATACACCTTTAAATTGTATACACCATTAAACACCTTAAGTTAATATTCTAGATACCCCAAATGTCCTCTCTTTTCAGCCCACCATCTTCCAATAGGAATCCCTGACAGCCCTTCTCCCATCCCCATCCTGAGTTGCCAAACCCTACACAGCAGTGTGGGCTGTAGTTTTCTCGAAGTTACTGTTGTAGAACATTGACCTGATTGTCAATCTTGAGCTCTGCCAGGGTTTCATTATCTCTTAAGGCATCAATGAGTGCTAGAATCCCAGCTCCTGTGATAAAGTTAGACTCCACATTTAAGCTCTTCAAAGTTTTGTTCGCTTTCAGCATTTCTGCAAAAGCCTAGAAAAAAAAGAAAATATTGAGAGATTAAAATTTGAATATAGTACCTACTACATATTGTACGTGCCATAAACAAATACATTAATTAACATAACTGCCTTAATGTTTGTCATTAGTTGTTTCAGTTTCACACAGTACCCCATAGCTCTCAAATGTACAGCTATCCCTCAGTATTCATTGGGGGTTGGTTCCAGGACCACCGCAGATACCAAAATCTTCAGATGCTCAAGTGCCTTATATGAAATGGCATAGTATTTGTATATAACCTGCATATGGCCTCCTGTATACTTTACATTATCTCTAGATTACTTAAGATACCTAATACAGGCCAGGTGTGGTGGCTCACGCCTGTAATCCCAGCACTTTGGGAGGCTGAGGCGGGCGGATCACAAGGACAGGATCACAGCCTGACAAACATAGTGAAACCCTGACTTTACTAAAAATACAAAAAAATTAGCCGGGCATGGTGGCACATGACTGTAGTCCCATTACTTGGGAGGCTGAGACAGGAGAATTGCTTGAATCTGGGAGGTGGAGGTTGCAGTGAGCTGGGATTGTGCCACTGTACTCCAGCTTGGGCAACAGAGTGAGACTTCGTCTCAAAAACAAAAATAAACAAAAATATCAAATACAGTGCCTACACATCACTTCATTCTCATGGATTCAACATAGTACCTGGCATATAGCAAATTCAGGTTTTACTTTTGGAAATTCATGGATTTTTTTTTTTTTCCATTTTTGATCATAAGTTGGTTGAACCCATGGATAACTGTATCTACTTTTCTTTTTCTTTCTTTTTGAGACAGGGTCTTGCCCTGTCACCCAGGCTGGAGTGCAATGGCATGATCATAGCTCACTGCAACCTCTGCCTCCCGGGCTCAACTGATCCTCCTGCCTCAGCCTCCTGAGTAGCTAGCTGACACTACAGTTGTGCGCCACCATCCGGGCTAAGTTTTGTATTTTTTGTAGAGATGGGGTTTTACCATGTTGCCCAGGCTGGTCTTGAACTCCTGGGCTCAAGCGATCCCCCACCTCGGACTCCCAAAGTGCTGGGATTATAGGTATGAGCCACTGCACCTGGCCTGTACCTACTTTTCATATATACCCCGTCATGATCCTTCGATTTTTTTGGTCACGTGTAATTCCCTATGGGTGACAATCTCTACTCATTCCCTACTTCATGCTTCTTTCTTCTGTCTCTCTCGTTCTTTCAGTTTCTGTGTTAGACCAACTTCATCAATATCCCTGGAACATCTTTCTTATTTGGGACTTGCTGTAGCTGGATAATGTGAAGCCAAAATGAGGGTAAATTACATACTAATTTCCAAGGCAGAGGCGAAAAGCAATGGTCAAGGCAGAAAGCCAGAAAAGAACATAGATAATCAGAACGAGAAGAGCACAAAGGCCACTGAGAAGAAGGGGCTAAGGAAATATTAAATTCCTCAAGTAAATGATATGTGTTCAATCTGCTTCTGTTTCCTTTCTCACAGGATATGGTACAGTGTTAGATATTTGACTCAGTGCTTAATAAATACTATATTGATTAATTAGCAGAAGCCTACGAGTGAAAAAAGAAAGAGGAGGGAGACTGGGAACGAAAGAGAAAGAGAGAAGCAGGAAGAGAGAAGAAGGAAAGGAAGGAGGGGAACAAGAGGAAAGAAGAGTGAGCATGAGTTTATATAAAACAGCCCCTTAGAGGGATCAAAAGCAAGGTTAAACTACAGAAGATATGAGTAAGGCCAAGCTTAAAGTTAAAGAAAAGTAAATAGGAGATACTAGAAAAAACTGTGGCTGATATCTACATACATGTACTTTATATTAGCAACAACTAGTTATGTGACCTGGAACAAATCCCTTATCCATACATTTATTCAAATATTAATGATGGTCTATTATTTGATTAGCACTGTTCTAGAGATTCAGAAATAAAACATATTGGTCCCTGCCTGGCGGACTGTTCATTCTAGTTGTGGAGGGATACAGATAATAACAGTAAGCAAAGCACAATGTTAGAGGGTAAAAAGGCACAATAGGGTAGATGGGGAATACTAGGGGTGGAAGTGGGGTTACTATTCTATATAGAGTTACCAGGAAAAGTCACCTACAAGGTGACATTTGAGCAAAGAGTCAAAGTGATAAGGTGAAGCTTTGTGGATTATTTTAGGAAGAAAGTTCAAGGCAGGAGGAACAAGTGTATAGGCCCTGATTTGGGAGTCCACATGGCATGTTTGAGGAAGTACAAGAAGGTTATATGGCTAGGGTAGAATGAAATAAAGGGCAAGTAAAGGAGATGAGGTCCACTTATGTGAAGACTTATAAGGCCATTGAAATATTTTGATTTTCTTCTGAAGTCTAAGTGGAAAAGAAAAAGAAATAGCTTGATTTTACTCTCAGTGAGATGGGAAGCTGCAAGAGGATTCTCTGAATAGGAATGAGATAAATTAAGTTTTAAAAGAATCACTCTTGGTGCTATGTAAAGAATTGATTTGGGGTAGGTAAAACAGATGAAGGTAATCCAATTAGGAGGCTGTTGCAATAATTCAGGTAGGAAAAGATGGTGGTTTGGATCACGGTCGTAGTTGTGAAAATGGTGATAAGTGGTTGGATTCTGAAATATTTTAAAGATACGACTAAAGGTATGTTTAAGGTTGTAAGAAAGGGATGTCAAGAATGATTCCATTATTTTTTTTCTTTTTTTGTGCCTGAGCAATGAAAGACTGAAATTGCATTTAGTAAGATAGAGAAGAGCACAGAAAAGCAGGCACAGGATGGAAGTCAGGAGTTTGGTTAGGGACTTATAAGTAAAATGTCCATTAGACATCCAAGTAAAACTGCTGAGGAGGTAGCTGGACATGAATACAGGGTTCAGGAGAGAGGTATAAACTGTAGATAACTCTGGGAGTCATTAGCAAGTACATGGAAATAATATATGTATTTCTGAGATCACCCAGGAAGTCAGTGTACACAGAGAAAAGAAGGACCAAGTTCTAGGCCATTCCAGTATTTAGAGGTTGAGAAGATGTGGAAGAACCAGCACAGGGCTTTGAGAAGAAATGTCCACTGAGGTAAGGGGAGCCCCCAAGGGAGTGATATCCTCAAAGCCAAGTGAAACCAATGGTTTATACCATGATCAAGTGGGATTTATCTCAGGAATGAAAGGTTGGTTCAACATATAAAAGTCATGCCAGAATGCAGGACAAAAACCATATGATCATCTCAAGATACACAGCAAAAGCATTTAACAGAAATCCACCACTAGAGGATTCCATAAATGGAATCCTCTGCAGATGTTAAAATAAAAGGTGGTAGATCCTTATGTATTGATACAACAAAAATTTAAAGATGAACCACAGAGTGAAAAATCAAGTTGCAGAACAACATATACTACGTGATTCCATTTACGTTTTTAAAAATTCATAGGAAGGAAAGCTGGGAGGTGGAAAAAAGGAAAAAAAATCATAGGAAGGAAATACAGGAAAAAATAAACATAATAAGGTAGTAACTAATATGCTGCCTAATAGTGAGATAAAACATCAACTATAAAAAAGGAGTAAATCTTGTTCATAAAAATCACCACCGTAACACATCCTGGCTACGCCATACTTTTGATATTCTCACTAGTAGCTACTTACAGCAGCAACAGGGTCATTGCTCCGGGTGGCTGCAAGACTGAAACATTTCACATGTGTGTTGGTTTCCAAAGCCTTTGCAAAATCTTTTAGGGTTGGAATTGGGATATTCTTGAAAGACAATAACATAAAACATCATTACATTTCAATTTTCATTATATCTAGTTTTCATTAATCAAGTACATCTGTATTTATTTTTGCTTTAAAATGTATACAGAAATTATATAAACACATAAGAGTAGTCTACAAATGAAAACAAATAATGCAGCTTCCTCCATATTTATCTGATTTCTCTATGATGGAGTATTTGCATAAACTACTGAATCAGCAGAGTACATACCACCATTTCTCTAGCACTTAGGTTTAAAAAAAATTCTCACTGTTTTCACCTTTCATTATTCCTTTTAAATGAAATTAAAAGTGGATTTACTTTTCTACAAGGAGAGAGATGCAGGAGTCCATCTCTCATGAGTATGATTCCTGAGGCAGACAGACAGTTCTCAGTCACTTAGTTTAAGCTACAAAATACTGAGCGATGAACCCCACACTACTTGAAGAAGAGAAAATAAAGTTATTGAAGGTGCTGATTTCTCTCCATAGTATCCGAGACTTCAATTCCCTCTAGTCTTGTTGTTTTCAGATCATTACTGTTTATTTAGAGAAGGAGATACACAGGGATCAAATTAAAAAAATAAAAATAGGCCGGGTGCAATGGCTCACACCTGTAATCCCAGCACTTGGAGGCTGAGGCGGTGCATCACTTGAGGTCAGGAGTTCAAAACCAGCCTGGCCAAAATGGTGAAACTCCATCTCTATTAAAAATACAAAAATTAGCTGGGTGTGGTGGTGGGCGCCTGTAATCCCAGCTATCCAGGTAGCTGAAACACAAGAATCACTTGAATCTGGGGTAGGGCAGAGGTTGCAGTGAGCCAAGATCAAGCCAGTGCACTCCAGCCTGGGCAACAGAGTGAGACTCTGACCAAAAAAAAAAAAAAAAAAAAGTTAGTAATCAACTAAGAATATAAGGTTTCTCTGAGGCTTTCCTTCTTTTACTCACAGGAAGGATCACTCCCTAGAGTAGCATAAAGGTTTTTGTCCTTAGGCTCATGTGATTTCCAGATGCTCTCCTCCCTTTGTCCCCCAATTAGAAAAAAAAAATCAAGTTTTAAAATGAGGAATTTATAATGAAGCTATTACAAAATGGCTATATCTAAGAGATAACCTGAGTTTACTCTTTGGTAATTAATTACCCCTATGCCCTCCTAACTAATTGCTTCTTTCCTTATACTCCAAGGAAGAGTTACATTATTTAAAACTCAAATTAAGATCCAAAGGACTATAAATTGTTCTACTATAAGGACACATGCACACGAATGTTCATTGCAGCACTATTTACAATAGTAAAGACCTGGAACCAACCCAAATGCCCATTGATGATAGACTGGATTGGGAAAATGTGGCACATATATACCATGGAATATTATGCAGCAATCAAAAATGATGAGTTCGTGTTGTTTGTAGGGACATGGATGAAGCTGGAGAATATCATTCTCAGCAAACTGACACAAGAACAGAAAATGAAATACTGCATATTCTCCCTCATAGGCGGGTGATGAAAAATGAGAACACATGGACACAGGGGAGGGAGTACTAAACACTGGGGTCTATTGGGGGGAATAGGGGAGGGACAGCGGGTGGGGGGGAGCTGGGGAGGGATAGCCTGGGGAGAAATGCCAAATATGGGTGAAGGGGAGGAAGGCAGCATAAAACACTGCCATGTATATACCTATGCAACTGTCTTGCATGTTCTGCACAGGTACCACAAAACCTAAAATGCAATAAAAAAATAAAAAAACCCAGAAAGCCTATTCCTGGGTGTTTACTCAAGAGAATTTAAAACATGCTCACACAAAAACCTGTGTGTGAAAGTATACAGTGACTGTACTCATAACCATCCCAAACTGGAAGGGACCCCTGTCTACCAACTGATGAACAGACAAACAAACTACAGCATATTTGACACATTCACCATGGATGAATCTCAAATGCATTATGTTAAGAAGCCAGACCCAAAATACGATACTATAGAATTCTATTTATATGACATTCTGGAGAAGGCAAAATGATAGGGAAAGAAAATAGGTTAGATGTCAAGGGCTAGAGCTGGGGGAAGAGAATGACTAAAAGGGGTATGAGAGAACTTCTGGTGACAGATACATTCTATATCTTGACTGTAATGGTGGTTGTACAAAATTGTATGTACCTGTCAAAAACCATAGAACTGTACACTAAAAGGGAGAATTTTACCTCAAAAAATTAAGTTTTATTTTATTTTTTGAGATGGGGCAGTGGCAGGTCTCTCTATGTTGCCCAGGCTGGTCTCAAACTTTTGGGCTCAAGTCATCCTCCAGCCTTAGTCTCCTGAGTAGCTGGGATTACAGGCATGCACCACCATACCTGGCTAAGGAACCAAATTTTAAGAAAGCAAGGCCCGCTGGACGCGGTGGCTCACGCCTGTAATCCCAACACTTTGGGAGGCTGAGGTAGCTGTATCACCTGAAGTTGGGAGTTCGAGATCAGCCTGACCAACATGGGGAAATGGTATCTCTACTAAAAATACAAAATTAGCCGGGCGTGGTGGCACATGCCTATAATCCCAGCTACTCGGGGGGCTGAAGCAGAAGAATCACTTGAACCCAGGAGGTGGAGGCTGCGGTAAGCCGAGATCACGCCATTGCACTCCAGCCTGGGCAACAAGAGCAAAACTCAGCCTCAGAAAACGAAAAAAAAAAGCAAGACCCAACAGACCAAATGTTCTTAGAAGTGGGTAGTATTAAAAAACCAGAGAGAGGTGAGTCTGAGCTGCATTTCCAGACTGATCTTTGTTGCCCACGGAACGGGGAAATTCCCAAGTGAAGAGGAGACGCGGGACGCCAGGCAGATATTCCGCCTGGCGAAGCCGGCAGCCGGGGTGGCGGCGGCCGGCCCTACCCAGCGCTCCCCACAGGGCGCGCTTGTCCGGGTGCCCCGTTGAACCGGCAACCGGAGACGTGAGAGGGCGGGACTTGAGACTGAGCTAGACTTGGACAGTGGGCCAGCCCAGGGGATTGCCGGGACAGAGCGTTAGGGTTGGCCCAGTGGGACGAACAAAACCGCGATTTCAAACAAGCCCCGTGCAGACGGCCCGAGAGGCGCTGAGGGGAAGGGGCGGCCACCATTACCGAGGCATCCCGCCCCAACTGAGATACACGCCCACTGCTGACGCAGCCAGCCGTTGCCGAGGCAACCCGTCCCTACTGAGATACACGCCCACTGCTGACGCAGCCTGCCGTTGCCGAGGCAACCCGCTACAACAGAGAGACTCCGCCGCAGGGCGTGGCGGAGAACAGCAGAACAGCAGAGCCAGGGCGAGCCTCACAACAGCAGGGCAGAGCCTCGGCAGGCAAACAGTGGCTAGTCTGCGTCCTAGCTGGGCAGGACCTCAACAGACATCCAAAAATAAAGCCCAAACCCCTCAACACAGAGCATTTGAGGAAAAAAAGGGTTTTTTTAATGAGCTCTGTTGCAGCAGAATCAAACATAGCAGCCTAACAGCCCTGAATGAACAACAGAGCTCACAGCTCAGCAATTAAGCCCATATAAAGTACAAACTGTCTCCTCAAGCAGCTCCCTGACCCCTCTATATCCAAAAGACTGACATTAGGCAGGCATCATCCTGGGACAAAGATAGCAGAAAAAGAAACTGGTAGCATCCCTCGCTGTGCCACAGCTGCTAGAGGTGCACCCCAGACAAGCAGGGTCTGGAGCGGACCTCAGCAGTCGTACAGCGAAGGGGCTAGACTGGTAGAAGGAAAACCAAGCAACAGAAATACTTCATCAACATTCAGGGTGTCCACTCAGAGACCCAATTAAAAGTCAGCAACTACGCAGACGACCAGCGGACAAATCCACAAAGATGGGAAGAAACCAGCGCAAAAAGGAGGAAAACACCCGAAACCAGAACACCTCACCTCCTAGAAAGGACCAAAACTCCTCACCAGCAAGGGAACAAAGCTGGACGGAGAATGACTGTGACGAAATGACGGAATTAGACTTCAGAAGATGGATAATGAGAAACTTTTGTGAGCTAAAAGATCATGTATTAAATCAATGCAAAGAAACTAAGAACCTTGAAAAAAGATTTGAAAAAAGATTCGAGGAAATGATAACAAGAATGGATAACTTAGAGAGGAATATGAATGAATTAAAGGAGCTGAAAAACACAATACGAGAACTTCGTGAAGCATGCACAAGTTTCAATAGCAGAATTGACCAAGCAGAAAAAAGAATATCTGAAGTCGAAGACCAACTCAATGAAATAAAACGAGAAACCAAGATTAGAGAAAAAAGCGCAAAAAGGAATGAACAAAGTCTCCAAGAAATGTGGGACTATGTGAAAAGACCTAACCTACGTTTGATAGGTGTACCAGAAGGGGATGAAGAGAATGAATCCAAGCTGGAAAATACTCTTCAGGACATCATCCAGGAAAATTTTCCCCACCTAGCAAGACAGGCCAACACTCAATTGCAGGAAATTCAGAGAACACCACAAAGATATTCCGCAAGAAGAGCAACCCCAAGGCACATAATTGTCAGATTCAATAGGGTTGAAATAAAGGAGAGAATACTAAGGGCAGCCAGAGAGAAAGGTCGGGTCACCCACAAAGGGAAGCCCATCAGACTCACAGCAGATCTCTCGGCAGAAACACTACAAGCCAGAAGAGAGTGGGGGCCAATATTCAACATTCTTAAAGAAAAGAACCTTCAACCCAGAATTTCATATCCAGCCAAACTGAGCTTCAGAAGTGAAGGAAAAATAAAATCCTTTGCGAACAAGCAAGTACTCAGAGATTTTGTCACCACAAGGCCTGCTTTACAAGAGCTCCTAAAGAGGCACTACACATAGAAAGGATCAACCAGTACCAGCCATTCCAAAATCACACTAAAAGTTAAAGAGCATCAACATAATGAAGAATCTACAACAACTAACAGGCAAAACAGCCACTTAGCATCAAAATGGCAGTATCAAATTCACACATAACAATACTAACCCTAAATGTAAATGGACTAAATGCACCAATCAAAAGACACAGACTGACAAATTGGATAAAAATCCAAAACCCATCAGTGTGCTGTATACAGGAAACCCATCTCACATGCAAGGATACAAAAAGGCTCAAAATAAAGGGATGGAGGAAGATTTACCAAGCAAATGGAGAGCAAAAAAAAGCAGGAGTTGCAATTCTCATCTCCGATAAAATAGACTTTAAAGCAACAAAGATCAAAAGAGACAAAGAAGGCCATTACATACTGGTAAAAGGATCGATAAAACAAGAAGAGCTAATGATCCTAAACATATATGGACCCAATGCAGGAGCACCCAGATACATAAGGCAAGTTCTTAAGGACTTACAAAAGGACTTAGACTCCCACACAATAATAGTGGGAGACTTTAACACTCCACTGTCAATACTAGACAGATCAACCAGAGAGAAAATCAACAAGGATATCCAGGGCTTGAACTCAGACCTGGAGCAAGCAAACCTGATAGACATTTACAGAACTCTCCACCCCAAATCCACAGAATACACATTCTTCTCAGCACCACATCAACCTACTCTAAAATTGACCACATAATTGGAAGTAAAGCACTGCTCAACAAATGCAAAACAACTGAAATCATAACAAACAGCCTCTCAGACCATAGTGCAATCAAGTTAGAACTCAGAATTCAGAAACAGACCCAGAACCGCACAGCTTCATGGAAACTGAACAACTGGCTCTTGAATGTTGACTGGGTAAACAATGAAATGAAGGCAGAAATAAAGAAGTTCTTCGAAACCAATGAGAACGAAGACACAACGTGCCAGAACCTCTGGGACACATTTAAAGCAGTCTCTAGAGGAAAGTATATAGCAATAAGTGCCCATATGAGGAGAATGGAGAGATCCAAAATTGACACCCTATCGTCAAAATTGAAAGAGCTAGAGGAGCAAGATCAAAAAAACTCAAAACCCAGCAGAAGACAAGAAATAACTAAGATCAGAGCTGAGCTGAAGGAGACTGAGACACGAAAAACCCTTCAAAAAATCAATAAATCCAAGAGCTGGTTTTTTGAAAAGATCAACAAAATAGACAGACCACTAGCCAGATTGATTAAAAAGTAAAGAGAGAACAACCAAATAGATGCAATAAAAAATGATAAAGGGGAAATCACCACAGACTCCACAGAAATTCAAACCATCATCAGAGAATATTACAAACAACTCTATGCACATAAACTAGTAAACCTGGAAGAAATGGATAAATTCCTGGATTCCTGTGTCCTCCCAAGCCTAAACCAGGAGGAAGCTGAAACTATGAATAGACCAATAACAAGGTCTGAAATTGAGGCAGCAATTAAGAGCCTACCACACAAAAAAAGCCCAGGTCCAGACGGGTTCACAGCCGAATTCTACCAGACACACAAGGAAGAGCTGGTACCATTTCTTCTAAAACTATTTCAAACAATCCAAAAAGAGGGAATCCTTCCCAAATCATTTTATGAGACCAACATCATTCTGATACCAAAACCCGGCAGAGACCCAACAAGAAAAGAAAACTTCAGGCCAATATCCATGATGAACATAGATGCAAATATCTTCAATAAAATATTGGCAAGCCGATTGCAACAGCAAATCAAAAAACTTATTCATCATGATCAAGTAGGATTCATCCTGGGGATGCAAGGTTGGTTCAACATACGCAAGTCTATCAACGTAATTCACCACATAAACAGAACCAAAAACAAAAACCACATGATTATCTCAATTGACGCAGAGAAGGAATTTGACAAAATTCAACAGCCCTTTATGCTAAAAACCCTCAATAAACTCGGTATCGATGGAACGTATCTCAAAGTAATAAAACCTATTTATGACAAACCAACAGCCAATATCATACTGAATGGGCAAAAACTGGAAGCATTCCCTTTGAAATCTGGCACTAGACAAGGATGCCCTCTTTCACCACTCCTATTCAATATAGTACTGGAAGTTCTAGCCAGAGCAATCAGGCAAGAAAAAGAAATAAAGGGTATTCAAATAGGAAAGGTGGAAGCCAAATTGTCTCTATTTGCAGACGACATGATAGTATACCTAGAAGACCCCATTACCTCAGCCCAAAAACTCCTGAAACTGATAAGCAACTTCAGCAAAGTCTCAGGATATAAAATCAATGTGCAAAAATCACAAGCATTCGTCTACACCAACAACAGGCTTAAAGAAAGCCAAATCAAGAGCGAACTGCCATTCGCAATTGCTACAAAAAGAATAAAATACCTTGGAATACAACTCACAAGGAACGTAAGAGACCTCTTCAAGAAGAACTACAAACCACTGCTCAACGAAATCAGAGAGGACACAAACAGATGGAGAAACATTCCATGTTCATGGTTAGGAAGAATTAATATCGTGAAAATGGCTATACTGCCCAAAGTAATTTACAGAATCAACGCTATCCCCATCAAGCTACCATTGACTTTCTTCACAGAACTGGAAAAAACCACCATGAACTTCATATGGAACCAAAAGAGAGCCCGCATAGCCAAGTCAATTCTAAGCAAAAAGAACACAGCGGGGGGCATCACACTACCGGATTTCAAACTATACTACAAGGCTACAGTAATCAAAACAGCATGGTACTGGTACCAAAACAGAGATATAGACCAATGGAACAAACAGAGGCACCGGAGGTAACACAACATACATACAACTATACAATCTTTGATAAACCTGACAAAAACAAGCAATGGGGCAAGGATTCCATGTTTAACAAATGGTGTTGGGAAAACTGGCTAGCCATGTGCAGAAAGCAGAAACTGGACCCCTTCCTGACACCTTACACTAAAATTAACTCCAGATGGATTAAAGACTTAAACATAAGACCTGGCACCATAAAAACCCTAGAAGAAAATCTAGGCAAAACTATCCAGGACATAGGAGTAGGCAAGGACTTCATGAACAAAACACCAAAAGCATTGGCAACAAAAGCCAAAATAGACAAATGGGACCTAATGAAACTCCACAGCTTCTGCACGGCAAAAGAAACAGTCACTAGAGTGGATCGGCAACCAACAGAATGGGAAAAAATTTTCGCAGTCTACCCATCTGACAAAGGGCTGATATCCAGAATCTACAAAGAGCTCAAACAGATTTACAGGAAAAAAACAAACAAGTCCATTCAAAAGTGGGCAAAGGATATGAACAGATACTTTACGAAAGAAGACATATATGAGGCCAACAATCATATGAAAAAATGCTCATTGTCACTGGTCATCAGAGAGATGCAAATCAAAACCACATTGAGATACCATCTCACGCCAGTTAGAATGGCGATCATTAAAAAATCTGGAGACAACAGATGCTGGAGAGGATGTGGAGAAAAAGGAACACTTTTACACTGTTGGTGGGAGTGTAAATTAGTTCAACCATTGTGGAAGACAGTGTGGCGATTCCTCAAGGCCTTAGAAATAGAAATTCCATTTGACCCAGCAATCCCATTACTGGGTATATATCCAAAAGACTATAAATCGTTCTACTATAAGGACACATGTACACGAATGTTCATTGCAGCACTGTTTACAATAGCAAAGACCTGGAATCAACCCAAATGCCCATCGATAATAGACTGGATTGGAAAAATGTGGCACATATACACCATGGAATATTATGCAGCAATCAGAAATGATGAGTTCGTGTCGTTTGTAGGGACATGGATGAATCTGGAGAACATCATCCTCAGCAAACTGACACAAGAACAGAAAATGAAACACCGCATATTCTCACTCATAGGCGGGTGATGAAAAATGAGAACACATGGACACAGAAAGGGGAGTACTAAACACTGGGGTCTATTGGGGGGAAAAGGGGAGGGCCAGTGGGAGGGGGAGGTGGGGAGGGATAGCCTGGGGAGAAATGCCAAATGTGGGTGAAGGGGAGAAGAAAAGCAAAGCACACTGCCATGTGTGTACCTACGCAACTGTCTTTGCATGCTCTGCTCATGTACCCCAAAACCTAAAATCAAATAAAAAAAAAAAAAAAACAAAAAACAGAGAGATTTATTCTGACAGTTTGTAGGGTTTACATTTTTAGATGATAAACCCTTCAAATAGCAAGTTAGAAAATACTATGCCATAATACTTTATTTATTTTTTTTTAATCCTGCCTCAGGTTTATTTGTACAAATAGCACAGGAGGACCCCAGCCCCATGCAGATGGCAGCCCCAGGGGAGTTACACCAGTCCTTCTGTCCTCACATTGGCAGACAAAGATATCTATTCTGAAGCCTTTGTAGGGGCCTGGGCACCTTTGAGAGCCTGAGCTGGAACTGAAACTGGAGCTGAAGCCTGGGCCTTGGTTTGATCCTTGGCCTTGGCCTTAACCTTGACCTTTGTCCGGCAGAGCCTGAGCCCCTTGGCAATGCGTGCCCGAGCACGCTTCCCAAGCTTGGGGTGGGCAATGTAGGCAAGTCGATCGAGCTTGCGGCTGACACCCTTTGGGATCTTGGGCTTAACCTCCTTGGGCTTTACGAGGGCCTTGATGGCCTCGGCACGTGCACTCATGGCCTTGGCATTGTTGGCCTGCATCTTCTTTAGGCCCTTCTTGTTGTGCTTCTTGGCAAAGCGCATGTTCCTCAGGAACTTGGGGTCCACCCCCTTAAGAGACTCGTATCTTTGTGATCGGGGTTTCTTGATACCATTTCTGTGCCATTTTCGGGACTGGTTGTGTGTGGTGTGGTTCTTGGACTTGGCCATGTCTGCACCCAAGCTGCAGTTCCCGCCATAATACTTTAATAGCTAAAATATGAAGAAACCTATATGGCATACTAGTAGGAGCAAAAACTTTAAAGTAGAAAGAACTAGACGATTTTATCAGCTGCCCAGCTCTCATCCTAGGTTCAACTGACTCGAAGCAATACAAAGCCACTCTGATTAACACACTTACCTTTATATTATTCAAATTAACTTCAACAAGATGAGCATCATTTTCTTTAATTCTCTTCAAAGTCTCTTCCACGTTGGTTGGATTTGGTGGCTCATCAAATACTGGAGGAATCTTTTCACCTTTGACCACATCTGCAGTGATACATGAAAAGAGCAGCAGCTGATAACTATTATAGTGGATGCAGATATTGACTTGGTAACATTTCTTTCTCTCTCTCTCACACACACACATATTTATTCAACAGAACAGATTTAAAAGTTCCATCCCCATAATTCCTAAAAGATCCTTTATGTGTTGACACACATTTATTTATTTATTTAACTTATTTTTTTGAGATGGAGTCTTGCTCTGTCGCCCAGACTGGAGTACAGTGGTGCAATGTTGGCTCACTGCAACTTCCGCCTCCCATGTTCAAGTGATTCTTCTGCCTTAGCCTCCTGAGTAGCTGGGACTACAGGTGCTTGCCACCATGCCTGGCTAAGTTTTGTATTTTTAGGAGAGATGGGGTTTCATCATATTGGCCAGGCTGGTCTTGAACTCCTGGCCTCAAGTGATCTGCCTGCCTTGGCCTCCCAAAGTGCTGGGATTACAAGCATGATTCACTACAAATGGCCTTGACACATATTTAAGCATCGAAATAAAATTTTACTGAATATAAATACCAAACATATTCAGCATTTCATTTTTTTGCCAGTTATTAGTCTTCAAAAATGAATATTTTCATTGTCTTAGTATATTACAAGATATTTTTACCACTCAAATATATTTAATAGCACAAGTTGATGCCTTTTGTTTTTTAGCAATATTTAAGATAAAGTATTAGCATGATAAAATCTAGCATTTCATCATTGCTCTGAGATTTGACTGATAATTGGCATAAAGGCAGTAAGAATCACAGACTTAAAGAAATATAGCCTAAATGAGAAGAATAAGGTGATGAAAGGGTGCATTACCTCTTGCTCCCATGGAGAGTACTCTGCAGTGGGAAAACAGGGAGAACTTTCTGCAAGAAAGAAGGAATAGGAAGAAAGGTAGGAATAAGGAGTGGAGAGGGAGAGGAGGTAAAGGTACACAGAAGAGCTACTGAGACAGAAGCTCCAAAATTTACTGCCTTCCCTCATTCTCACTCCCCAATCTTTAACTTAGCTACCCACACATAACAGGAATATGATGCTTCAAAGTTGAAAGACAGAGGACCTGACCTCGAGCTCTTTAATGAGATCACTGTGCTCTGATGCATGTGTGTGGAGGTCTATGAACACCTATAAAAGGTAAACTTTTATGGATAGATTTTTGGGGGAAAACGTTACCTTTTGTGGTCATTCAATTCGAAGACCACAAAAGCTCACAAACTGGTGAATGACCACAAAAAAGTAAGAGCAACTGACATGGAAAGACTGACTGGGTTCAAAATGGACTACTATTTGGCTTTTTTGCTTCCTGCCTTTGATTCCTCTAGATTTTAGGAGCAAAACTCATCTTGAGACAGGGTGCACTGATTATCCAATAAATTCCATCTAAGACCATCTTATTACTTTCGAATACACACACACACACACACACACACACACACACACACACACACACACACACAGCATCTTGAGGAGATCAACTTAGATGAAGGATTGAAAATTACTTTCCTGAGGTCAGGTGAAAGATCTGAATATATTTAGTCTGGAGAAGTACATATTAAAAGAAGGTATGCTAGCTGTTTCAGAGTTATCCTGTAGAAATCGAGAAGAGATAAATTTAGTGCTGTTCCGAAAGGCTGGATTAGAACAAGTACAGCTTGCCAAGAAGCAGAACTTGGTTCAAGACTAGGAAAAGCTTCCTAATGGAGCTCTGCTAAACAACAGAGAGTGGACTCCCTCTCACATAAGTTCAGCAAGGCAGACTTCAAGATAGCTAGGGAAGAACTTCCTCACTGAATGCAAAATTGAATGAGTTCTAATTTTATAAAACCAAAAACCACATTCTGTGGAGTGGGGAAAGAAATCTCAAGAGCCTTGCCCCTTAATGAAATAATGAATCCAGTCAATGGGATGCAGAAATTATTAAGCAAAAAGTTCATGGGGAACTTAAAATGGATGGATCAGGCTGCCTACATCTGAACCCACTGATCAATCTCATTCCCCCAAAGAGGAAGGATCAGACTTGACAAACTTCTTAATGTGATTCCACCACCCATGAAGCATCGTTGCCAAAAGGGACCTGCACCTGCATCTCATCAAGCCACCAGACCTAACAGCTTACAGAAACGTAGGTAATAGAAAAACATAAAATGATACCATAAGGCTGAAATCAGCCAAATCCAGAATGTGGAAAATTCTATGACAAATAACCCAGTTTCTTAAAAAATAAATGGCATAAAAAAAAAAAAAAGGAAAGAGGTTGAGGAGAACTGTTAAGAAATTAAGGGAGACTAAAAAGACAAACAACCAAATGCAGTGTGTAACGTTTTTTGAGCCAGTCACAAAATGACATTTTTGAGAAAATAGAGGAAATCTGGACACAGACTGGTTATTAGATGATACGAAGAAAATACTGTTAATTTTTAAGTTTGATAATGGCATCATGATTACATTTAACAAAAACCCCTTTATTTGTGAGAAAAACATATGGAAATATTTATAGGTGATGTAATACAAATGAATAGGATTTGCTTTAAAATAATTCAGGAAAAAAAAGTAGAAGGGTTAGGGAGGGAGACAGAAGATGAATGAAACAAGGCTGGCAAATGTTAAAAACAGCTGAAGCTGGGTGAGGAGTATATTATCTCTTATGTATGTTTGAACATTTCTACAATAAAAACTTAAAAATGAGAAGGGGGATGGCCAAATTACAAAGCATCGTAAAATGGAATGTTATACACTTGTCTGTATGAGGTAGATGTATACATACTAACTAGAAAATATGGTCCATTGCTAAGTGATACACTAAATAACATGGGTTAAAATCCTTACCACTGACTTTGCGTAAAACATTGAGGTTACTTAATTGTTTCAAAATCTCAGCTTCCTCACATGCAAATTAAAGATAATAATATCTATTTCACAGAACTGTTGTGAGGACGTTGAGAGTACTCCACGTCCAAGAGCTGTGCTCAGAACATGGCCCACAGTAAGCATTCAAAAACATTTAGTTAGCCGGGTGCAGTGGCTCACACCTGTAATCTCAGCACTTTGGAAGGCTGAGGTAGGCAGATTGCCTGAGGTCAGGAGTTTGAGACCAGTCTGGCCAACATGGCGAAACTAAAATACAAAATACAAAAATACTAAAAATACAAAAAAAAGTTAGCCAGGAGTTGGGGCATGCACCTGTAATCCCAACTACTCCAGAGGGTGAGACAGGAGAAATGCTTGAATCTGGGAGGTGGAAGTTGCAGTGAGCCAAGATGGTGCCACTGCACTCCAGCCTGAGTGACCGAGTGAGACTCCATCTCAAAAAAAAAAATAATAATTTAGCTAATAGAATTACTATTAAAAATTAAGTGCAATAAATATTTACAGTATAATCCAATTTTTGTAAAAAACAAGAGATTATGTATAACATGTATACATTAGTATAAACAGTGCAAAGTCTGGAAGGGTATATACCAAATAGTTAAAAGGGTGATGTCTGGGGAAGTAGAGGGCATGATGGCTGAAGACACTTTTACTTCTTCCCACATATACTTATGTATTGCTTAACTGTGCTACAAAGGCATGTATCACCTTGCTAATTTAAGAATACCCTAGGCCGGGCACGGTGGCTCACGCCTGTAATCCCAGCACTTTGGGAGGCCGAGGCGGGTGGATCATGAGGTCAAGAGATCGAGACCATCCTGGTCAACGAGGTGAAACCCTGTCTCTACTAAAAATACAAAAATTAGCTGGGCATGGTGGTGCATGCCTGTAGTCCCAGCTACTTGGGAGGCTGAGGCAGGAGAATTGCTTGAACCCAGAAGGCGGAGGTTGCGGTGAGCCGAGATTGTGCCATTGCCCTCCAGTCTGGGTAACAACAGCGAAACTCTATCTCAAAAAAAAAAAAAAAAAAAAAAAAAAAGGAATACCCTAATAAAATAACTGAAATTAAAAACAAAAAGAATACCCTATAAATGAATTTTTTTTTTTTGAGGCAGGATCTTGTTCTGTCCCGCAGGCTCAAAGAGTAGTATCATGATCATGGCTCACTGCAGCCTCAATCTCCTGGGCTCAAGCCATTCTCCCACCTCAGCCTCCCAAGTAGCTAAGACTAGAGACATGCCGCCATGCCCAGCTAATTTTTAAAATTTTATAGAGATGGGGGTCTATGTTTCCCATGCTGGCCTTGAACTCCTGGATTCAAACAATCCTCCTGCCTCCGTCTCAGAAAATGGGATTACAGGCATGACCCACCACACCTGGCCACTACAAATGAATTTCTGAAAAGCTCTGCTTTAGGCTATATAGTACTTCACATCAGACTGAAAGCTTTAGGAGCTGAATAGTTTTGTGGTTTCTCCTGAATCTGATTTTATAATGTAATTTCTTTGTCAGTATTGTTATGCATTTCTTGAAAATTAGTAATAATGATAATAAAATATCAACAAAACCAAGTTTGACTAGCTTTTATATTGTTTAGTATTAGTGACATAGAGTGGTTTTATTACATTTGCTGACACATTAAGGACAAAATATTTAATACCCTATTTTCAATGGCTTTCTGGATTAGTATCACCAAACTGAAATGTCAGGTTTCAAGAACATGTATACAACAACTAGTATGTGAATACTGAAGCTGACACAAGGCAAATACAAAATATATTTTATAAAGAATTAGAATTCACAAACCATTTTAAGTACTCACTTGAAAAATGTTCTTCGTCAACGCCATTACTACTTCCCACTATATTACAGAACTGTGTATTCGTTATCAAATTGTGCATCCCAAGAATAGCTATAAATTTAGAAAAAGAAAGTTTTTATTGTTTTAAACATGAAGAGTTTCACAACAAAAATTTTCTATCAATAATTTTAACAGTATCTTGACCTTCTCCTATAAATTACAGATCACACACATAAACAAAGAAGAATAAAATGAGTAAAAATCACCTAAAATCTCATTCTTATCAATACTCTTGCTATTTTCCCCCACATTTCTAAAGTTATATTTCCCCACATTTCCAAATTCAGAGTTGGAGGCAGCCTGATCCTAAACGTAAATCTATCCTTAGCTCCATCTGGTGGCTAAGAGAGAAAATGGAAATGATCTATTTTTGCTCTTCATGAATTTCACAAGGTTTCTAGGAACATAATGTGACAAAAAGCAGATTTTCACATTAACCTTCATATTTTAATGTTTGTTAATCTCATGTCATTAATTTACATTTGGATTCTAGCTAAGAGTAGAATACCAAAAGTATTAGGTTTTTATATGTAAGGATATGAGTACCCTTCAAAAATGACACTTAAGGAGGAAAAATAAATTTGGATTTAGTTTTTGATGCCCTTTTGCATAAATAAGGCAGATGCCAGAGGATGTCCTTGGCTCATTCCACTCTGATGAATGTACTATTTACAGATGTATCAGTCCTCAGTCCCTTAATCCATAAGACTACTGCTCTGGCTGTGGCATCACACTTTGACTTGTCCCTTTCCAAGGTCCTTTCCAAAGAACCATCAGAGCTACATTCAAACTTACTAGTTCTTGGAGTTATTTAGTATGAAGAACTCCCCATGCATCATACTTATCTATCTAAGAAAATAGGTTGTACGTGGTAGGGTGGGCAAGATACTAGTCTAGATAAGAAATTGGCAATATTGACAATAATAGGGTTTAGGGTATTGTTAAGTATTTCTTGAAAATTAGTAATATGGATAATAAAATGTCAACAAAAGCAAGTTTGACTAGCTTTTATACTGTTTAGTATTAGAGGTTTGAAGTACTTCATATACACTTCAGAAAAGTTGAGAATAGCTCAGAACTGACTGTTCCAATCTACTTTCTAGTTAAGTATCTCTCTGTCTTCTGATAAGGTGGTCATCAGCAGATGACTCTGAAGACTCTTTTCCAATGCTCAGGTGGGACAGCTGCTAGCTGAGCACCAGCTGATGAAAGATTTTAGAAAGACTTTCAAACATGACAACATGGGAAAAGATGTCAAAAAATACAATACATTCTCAATATAAACATTTCACTATTGAGAGTAATGAAACTCTTTATGTCAGCTTTATCATGTAAAATATAAAGCCAAATATGTGGTTACTGATTCAACAGCACTTGCTAGGAAAAGCAAACATCTGTATAATGTATATATAGGTATGTGCTGGTATTTCCTCTCTCCAACCCACACTTATTCGCAAATTAACTTGTTTTAGGTGATACCTGCGAGGTCACACAATTCTGTATCTGAAGCACTTGTCAAAGCTTCTTCTAATTCTGGATCAAGAGATACTTTTTCTTCTGTAAAAGTCTGTATAGGTTTCTGTTTGGGGATAAATATTTTCCCTGTAAAATAAAGCACTTTGTTAATTCTACTACTACTGCTTTTAACTCATTACACTATTTTATCCTTGTAACCAAAGTATGTACAATTTAAGTTAAAGGAAAAGATGAACATCATCAGTAATTCCGTTTTATCGTTGACATAGATTTTTATGTTTCCAGGGTAATATTTTGGCTGTAAAAATTGGAAATAAAAGGTCAACTGAGAAATTTTTCAATAAATTTATGGATATAAAAATTCGCTCTTTTTAGTGTAACTGTGAGTCGCTTTACAAATACCAAATCAATCAATAAAAGAAATAAACAAAAAACCTATAAAAATTCAAAGAGATTTTTAAAAAACCAGAATCCAATTTCTTATTATTAAGCAACAAACTATTACTGTCACTTGGTGGATGGCAAAGACAATTATGATTCCAGAAATTCAAATTCTGACTGCAAATAAATTTTACGTCCTGGGTGGTATTCAGAAATTTTTGGTCATTATTCCTCTAAGCCTCAATGTACACTAACAAGCTTAGCTGTTAAGAAACTAGTTACTCTAGAAACCTAAAGACTTTATCATATGAAAATCATGTTTATGACCATAGGTTCTATTCAAGATTGAAATTATAAAGGGAATGGAAAAATAATAATCATAAATGCAGCACTAGCTAACTAAACAAGATGTACTCACACAATCAGTGTTATTAAGCTTGCATAGAACAGAATACCCAGTTAAAGTGGGTTTAAACTGGTGCTTCAAAAGCTTTCATGTGCATCTTAGTCACCACAGGATCTTATTAATGTATAAATGCTAGAGCTGGGCTTGGTGGCTCACGCCTGTAATCCCAGCACTTTGGGAGACCAAGGCGGGTGGATCACCTGAGGTCGAGAGTTTGAGACTAACCTGACCAACATGGAGAAATCCCGTCTCTACTAAAAATATAAAATTGGCCAGGCATGGTGGCACATGCCTGTAATCCCAGCTACATGGGAGGCTGAGACAGGAGAATCACTTGAACCTGGGAGGTGGAGGTTGTGCCATTGCACTCCAGCCTGGGCAACAAGAGTGAGACTCTGCCTCAAAAAAATAAATAAATAAATAAAATCAAAATAAATAAATAAATAAATAAAGTATAGATGCTGATGCAGCAGGTCTGAGTGGGGTCTGAGATTCCACATTTCTAACCAAACTCCCAGATGATGCTGATCCACAAACCACTCTTAAAGCACAAATGATACAGCAATATGAAGTTTTATTATCTCAATAAGCCCACAGGAAGGTAGTCCTAGGGTTGGTTTAACAGCTCACTGTTGACATCAAAAATCCAGGCTCCTGGGCCAAGCACAGTGGCTCATGCTTCCAATTTTAGCACTTTGGGAGGCCAAAGTGGGCAGATCACGAGGTCAGGAGATCGGGACCATCCTGGCTAACACGGTGAAACCCTGTCTCTACTAAAAATACAAAAAATTAGCCAGGCGTGGTGGCACGCACCTGTAGTCCCAGCTACTCAAGAGGCTGAGGCAGGAGAATTGCTTGAACCCAGGAGGCTGAGGTTGTAGTGAGCCAAGATCATGCCACTACACTCTAGACTGGGTGACAGAGTGAGACTCCATCTCCAAAAAAAAAAAATCCAGGTTCCTTTGTATTTTCCTTTGGCCATTTTCAGTGTGGAAGCCTTTGTTCTTAGGTCTTCACAGTCTCAAGATGACCTCTGTAGCACAAAGTATCATGTCCCCACACAATAAGGCCAGAACAGGAAGGCGTGCTTTCTCAATCGCCAACTAACCAACTTCCTTCTTTTCTTTCTCTCTCTCCCTCCCTCCCTCCCTCCATCCCCTCCTCTCTCCTCTTTCCTTTCTTTCTTTCCTTCCTTCCTTCTCTTTCTTTCTCCTTTCTTTCTTCTTTCTCTTTTCTTCTCTCTCTCTCTCTCTCTCTCCCTTTCCAGCTTAGTCAAGCGAGGCAGTAGAGTAGAGATGCAACAAAGAAAACTGGTTGTGATCAATTAGCTGTAAACACCACTGCACTTGGACCAGGCTCAACTGTCAACTTTCATAAGAAAACCTGCCCTGCAGACTTTTCCTCTGGTCTATGCCCCAGCTGCAGAGGTGGCTAGGAAAGCAAGCATCTGTGAATGGTCACTAAATGGGCAACTAAAGTGTTTGTCCAAAACTGAAACCAAATGAAGAACTTCTATATTCCCTTAATTCCCTGAACATTTCACTATAGCTACACTTAGACATTCTTCATGTTTGCCCTTTGCATGCTTTTCAAGGCGATGCTCTATGTTCTGTTCATCCCTGTATCCTTGCCTAGAACACAACAGGCAAGCCAATTTGTTGAATAAACAATCTGATTATCACTTTCAGTCCAACGGCCCCATTTTATAAAATGTAAATTTTAAATACATGGGTTCAAAGTCACACAGCAGAGCTAATACTAGAACACAGGTTGCCAAACTCTTAAGGCCAGGGCTTCAGTGCTTTTTCCAGTTAACTGGTGGCTTACAAACTTGATTTTCTTTTTTTTAAGCAACAGACATCCACCCCCCACACAAACAAAGGCCCACCTATATGGTAGTATGTATAACTGATCTTAGTCAGTACTGAATTTTGGAATTCTGGTGACTGGATACTCTTTTATTACTGGTTCACAGGTAAAGAGAAACCCAAATCATTATGTCCTGATAATTCCATACTTTTCATAGTAGTTGACATTACAATTAAAGTGGCATACAGTTCAGGGGGGGCAAAACTTCAATTGCCATTTCAGGATAGTTAACATTTTCCTGAGGTCAATCTACCTGTATTTTCAACTGTGTACAGCAGTAATTCTAAATGTTACATGTAAAGTGGCTTCACTGTGAAAGCTTTAAAAAATTCTCATGTCCAAGCCCCATCCCAGAGATTCTGATTTAGTTAATCTGGTGTGCTGCATGGGCAGCTGAATTTTTTAAAGCTCTCCAGGGATTCTGATGCATAGCAGCCAAGGTTGAGAGTGGCTGGATTATGGTATTCACTGACTAAACAAAACTACACAAGCTACTTGCCACCAAAAATGATCAGTATGTGAGGTAATGTGTATGTCAAATTTAATTTAGCCATTCCACAATGTGTTCATGTAAAAAAATGTTCTACACCATAAACAACACAATTTTTACTTGCTAATAAAAAGAAAGACACAAGCTATCAAATAGCTGCCCATGTCTTATTTGAGGGACCAATGGAATCTAAAGCATCATAAAAATCTAAGATGTTCATTTTTTAAAATCCTTATCCACATTCCTTAGAGGCATTATTCATATCTAATGTCCCCCCATACAAAAATTTTTGCTAATGCTTACAAATACAAAATGAATCGCAGCAGAAAAAAACAATAAGGCAAAACAAAATAAAACTCCCAAGGACCTATAAAATTCTTCTGTCATATAGAATTTTGCTCTATTTTATACCACTCTGACATAGCTTGGTACCTCTTCTGGCACTCCTCTTTATATAATTTTTCTGTATGTAGATATTTTTGCTATAGAGGTAGTTGGCCTATACAATATTATGTTTTTTAAAATACAAAAAGTGATTACTTCATATTTTCTTCTAGGTTAGTTGAACACCAATACACTGTAATAAGTTATCTTTTAATGCATATATACAAAGTTTAGTTATAAACTAGAGGTAAATAAATTAATTTTCTAAGAAAGAATAAACTAGTAAGGACCTAAGTTTAGTATTATGAATATAAAATCTAAGGGACTCTCAGCAAATTGATTTATATATTTATATAACCCCTTTCAAAATCTCAGTTGCTTTTTTAATAGAAAGTGGCAAGCTGATCCTAAAATTCATATAGAAACACAGAATAGCCAAGAATACAGTTGTAAGACACTTCCCAATGTCAAAATCTAATGCAAAGCTACTATAATCAGAACAGTGTTGGTGTACTAGGAAAGACATTTAGATCAATAGAATATAACCAAAAATCCAGACATGAACCCTTACACTTATGGTCAATTGATTTTCTACAGGAATACCAAAACAATTCAATGGAGAAACAACAGTTTCAACGAATGGTTGTATTAAGACAACTGCACAGTCACATGTAAGGTTTTTTTGTTTTTGTTTTGTTTTCTTGGGACAGAGTCTCACTGTGTCACCCAGGCTGGCATGGAGTGGTGCAATCTCAACTCACTGCAACCTCCGCCTCCTGGGTTCATGTGACTCTTGTGCCTCAGCCTCCCGAGTAGCTGGGACTACTAGTAGATAGGGTTTTGCCATGTTGGTAAGGCTGGTCTTAAACTCCTGACCTCAAGTGATCTACCTACCTTGGCCTCCCAAAGTGTTAGGATTACAGGTGTGAGCCACCACTCCTGGCCCACATACACAAAGTTGAACCCTTACCTCACACTATACTCAAAATAGATTATAAACCTAAATCTAAGGACTAAACTATAAAACTCATAGGAAAAAATGTAAGATTGTATCTCTATGACCTTGAGTTAGGCAATGGTTTTTACATATGACACCAAAAGCACAAGTAACAAAAGAAACATAGATAAATTGTAGTATATCAAAATTAAAAACTTTTGTGGGCAAATGACACCATCAATAAAGTGAAAAGACAACCTACTGAACAGGAGAAACATTTTTTGAACCATGTATCTGGCAAGAAATTTTTATCCAGCATATATAAGGAATGCTTGCCAATCAATAATAAAAGGACAACCCAGTTTAAAAGTAAGCAAAGATTTGAAGAGACATTTCTATCAAGAAAATGTATAGCTGGACATGGTGGTGCACATTTGTAATCTCAGCTACTCAGTCGGCTGAGGAAGCAGAACTGTCTGAGGAGTTCGAGTCCAGCCTGGGCAGCACAGCAAGACATTTAAAAAAAAAAAAAATACAAATATACAGTAGTCTAACAGTATATGAAAAAATACTAGGTATCATTAGTTATCAGGGAATGCAAATCAAAACCACAATGTGATATTACTTCATACCCACTAAGATGGCCATAATAAAACAGG